CCTATTCAGAGCTAGACATGTCGGTAAGGGTCCGTAACGGATGGGCAGGGCCAGGCCTACATAACTCCCCAGGGTGGGCCATATACGACCCTAATAGGCCTATTTTCTAATTTCATCGAACCAACGCCCAGGTCGTGGGGCTTACTAGAGGGGCTGCTTAACAGGCCTAAGTGGTAAAAGTCTTGGCCCGTGGCCTTTCCAATGGACTATCATGCTATCCATGGTAACAAGGCCAACGGGCCATTGACCCACGCCTAATCCGAAGCACCTTTTTGGGAAAATTGTAAACAGCTTACAATGGAAATGAAGAACTATTATTCAGTGCTTCAAGTTGCTGTTAAAAGAAAGATTACTCTCTCTCTCACACACACACACACAAATAATGGTGGATCATCCAATTTAAAATATATTGGTCGAATTGATATCAACTAAGTAGCGGTACCCTTAAATCCTATGTTCCATTATGGAAATGGCTGCATGTAAACATAACTTAGCAAGTGGGACCTAAACATAAGATGAAGGATGCGAGTCTAATGTTCCTTTAATATGATAGAAAATAGAAGAATAGAAAGTTGGGGAGATAAATAAAATATTATGTTTGGTAAGGAAAGAAATAGAAAGAATGGAAAAATAGATGAATAAACTTTCTTTTCAACTCACTAAAATTGATCTCTCTAAAATCGGAAAGAAAATAGATGAAAATTAATTATTTGTGTTAAGATGTATCTTATTTGTCTATATATCTTTTAATATATGCATATATTATGTATACATTAATTTCATATAAAAATACAATGATAAATATGTATTTATATATATATATATATATATATATATATTTATTTATTTATTTATTTATTTAATTTAAAAATAAATTATAAAATAAAAAATTTAAATTTAAAGAATATTTTTTTCATCTTAATTAATCCAGATTTATTTTTTAATTAAAAATAGATCAACATGAATACAAACACAAATATGACACGAAAATAAACAGGTCAATTCGCAACTTGATACGACACAATTAGTTAAATGAGTTAAGTTAGCTTTGACTAATGTTCGATATAAACCTGTAATGACTCACCACGAATCTGACACGACACAATTCGATTGTCACTCTTAATTTTAGCCAACCAAAAAAAAAAATGTAATTATTTTTATTTTTCATCCATCCAACTAAATATAAGGGAAGAAAAGTGTATCATTCATACTTTCCTTCCTTGAATGATAGAAAATATATCTACTACTTTCATCTTCTCTACTTTCTATCTTTTTTATCAAACGGAGCATAAGAAATTGTAAAATTATTTTTTTGGTATTGCACTTTATTTTTTCGTTAAATTAAACAATGTTACATAGATTTTTTTTTTTTTCACTTTTTTATTTTAGTCTACTATATTTACTATCCACATCTGCGAACAGATTGAGACAAATTTTACTATTAAAAAACCATTCTGTGTGCCAATAGTGCTATGACTTTAGTGAAGTCACGATCATGGAGCAACTTTTCTCTTTTCAGTACATTTTCTACGGAGGGAAAAAAAAAAGTTGAGTACATGACTTTAGTCTTTATATCATCCATTAATGGCAGACTTGGCTGTTTGTCATAATACAGAGCATCTTGTTCCATGCCACCCACAGTACTCCATGCAGTGCTGTGGCTAACTTGGCAGGGGTAGGAAAATATTCAAGTAGTAATAAAATTAAATTATAAATTTAGGCGTTATAAATTTGAATTTTAATAATTTTTTGAATTCAGGTCAAATGAGATTTATTCATTATGAATATTCTAATTTCGAAAATAGATAACTTGTTTTTGACTAAACCAGAGAGGTAGTTGGATTTACATAAACTAGTCTGAACACCCTGATTATTGAAAAAAAAAAAAAGGAAAGGGTGACCTAACATCTAGTTTCTTAGTATTTAAGATTGAGTTGTTCTAAGGTTCATATTCTTTCATTTGTCGGTACAATAAAACCATTTATATTGGATGGTCTCAGGTTCAGGGTTAAATGTTAGTTGGGTAAAGGGTTTGTAGAAATATTTATAAACAACTGAATGTAAGTAGGTTTGAGTAATAAACAAACTACGGATGATTTTGGACTAGTTAATGGTTGACAATGATGTCATGGGTATCGTGACTATTAATCGACACAATGTCACTCAGGGTAAACCAAGGCTAACTAGCCCTTGAAAAATCTCAACCCCTATTGTCATGGTTGCATACATTCTCTGGTTTTATTGTCGGAGCCGGAAAAAAAAGCCAAACTGTAGACTGCAGTTCGGAATGGACTACAAGACCATTCTCAAACCGATGAAAATTTATGTATGGCGTTTTAAAAGTTGAATCAAAATAGTAAGAAGACTATCATGTATCCCTCATAAATAAAGCCTATTAAAAAAAAGCTTATCTATGACAACTAGGTAAATTTACATTTATTCTCCAAAAAATTTAAAAATTTATACTTTATATATTAAATTATATACATTACACTTTTAATATATTAAAAGTATTACAATGTGACCCTTTAATTAAATTTTGTTATTCATTTCATAAACAATTATCCTATTAACTATAACAAAAATTGACAAAAAAAATTATATTATAATATTTATGTTTAATATATTAAAAGTGTAATGTAAAAACAAGAATAGCGCATATGACAGAAGTGATGGCATACAAATTCTTATTTTTTTGCCGAGGGTTCAATCATTCAACTTAGGATCACTTTGGTATTATGTAGTTTTTAAAGGTAAAACAGTCATTTTTGAAATATGACCACGACTTTATAAACGACGAGACCAATGGTATTTTTCTTGAGTGGAGGTGGAGGGGTGAGCTCAATGGCTGCCATGGAGAAGGCTGTCGTCTCCAGCCGCGTTGGGTTGAAGAGGGAAGACTGTAAGCGCACCAAACATGACTCTGCTTTCTCTGATTGGAAGGTCAGTCTCCTCTCTCTCTCACTGTGTAACCTGTGGATTTCACCAACAACGCCATCTCTTTTATGATTGCCTTAAACCAGAGTAATGTTAAGCAAACAACTCAACTGAACACACACTCACACCCACAAAAAAGAAGTAAAAAAGCAAATGTTAAAGATGAGACTAGATCACAGGGTCCAGTTAGTTTACACAGTCTTACAGATAGAGTTCCCTTCCAATGGATACTTGGCTTATAAAGTGTTGGTTGTGGTATTTCAAATATAATAAAATTTCTTCTTAAAATTTTTGATTTGAAACTTGTAATGTACAACAAAACAGTAATAATGAAGTGCAAAACATTATACAAAAAATTGAAACAATTACAAAAGAAGTAACGGAACAGTTATAATAGTCTTAACCACATAACTGTTTGTCAAACCAATATAAATATTAACCCGGTTGTAGAATAACAATTGTTATTGAATTTTATGTAGATCAAGTCTAGTGTTTGACACTATATCTTTAAGGCAAATTCCCCCCCCCCACACACGGTGCTTATAGAATATAAGATGTTTGTCTCCCATGATACAATAATCTTCACGTAGAAGTAGCAGTTTAATCTATTCGTCTAGCGAATCAGAAATTGTGTTGTATACTTTTCAAATATAGACTGCCTTAATATTGTATGAGACTGCCTTAAATGACTACGAATGCATTGATGAAATTGGATATAAAATGATTATGTGACTAAGTTATTTATAAAGAAAATGGTGACTGATTCGAACAGTCACCATATGAACAAATGTAACCTAACAAACACATGTAGCTAGAAAATATCACTTGTGTAACTAGTCTATATGAACAAACACAACTCAGTTTTTTAGATTTGAGAGAAGCAAAAAATCCAAACTAGTGTGATCTAACGGATATCGAAAATTAAATTTTGGATTAAGAAATTCACGCCCAAATAATTAAATGAATTTTTTCCCCAAAAATAGGGTTTGGTCTAAACCACACCCGAAAGTATGTAGGCGCTCGCTCCTCTCATAAAATTGTGGTACTCCTTGAGGTCCAATCCCATAGAGCAAATTTGACCTAAATATGCTCATGTAGTACTTTTTCCTCAACCAATGTGGGATTGGTGTCAAATCCCACATTGCACAACCTTTATTTTCACATTTTAGGAGGGACATTTTGAAGCCTATTTTCTTATTCATTTCTTATTCGATTTGAGCAAGTGAATATATTAAATTATTCTCTCAACGGAGTAGAATACGAACATATGAAAATTTACTCGAAACAACGAACATGTTCCACTTTAATTTAGACTCAAAGTCGACCAAAAATTTAATTTTTATACTTAAAAAACTATTTTGGTCCAACAATCTCCCATATGAATGAAAATTTGGTTGTTAGTATGCAAATGATAATGCTGACACACTATAGAGAAGACATCTTTGGAAAGATCGTGCATCGAGATAGGGAATTTTTGGCGTTGAACCTTCCCTAGTGAAAGCCCATTGGACTTACCGACTAAATAGTGAATGTGATGTTTTGAACTCTTCGGCTGTTTGATAAATCAAATCTAATAGATTTCACACAGTCTCTTTCCTAACACAATTGGTTCTCATGATTGTGTTCATTTTGGCTCTGAACAACTTCTGATTTTCATGAGTATTTTAGAGAATTCAGCCTTATATAAATTCTCACAGAAGTTGGCCCCTTCGCACTCATATAGGTGACTCCTATTAAGAATATCCTAAAATATTCTACTTGAATTTTCAAGGTATAAAAGTCATTAAAAACATAGCTTACCCTAAATAAACTCTGCAAACAATACTAGTTTATCATAGGAATAGGTAGGAGAGATTATCTTCTTAGTGCTTCTTTTGAATCACGCATAATTTGGTTGTCCCTTTGAACCTAGATCTTGGGATCTCCAGTCAACTAGGTTGGGTTGCCATTAAGACGACCCCTCGATGTGCAATTTACTTGCTCTCTTGTCAAACCTTTAGTAAATTGATCCGTTAGATTATTATTTGATTTTATATAATCAATAGAAATGATCTCATTTGAGAACAAACGGTATTATGTCTACGACGTATATGTCTAGACTAATAATTATGCATGTCACTCTGTGCCCTACCAATTACAAATTGGCTATGCAATGTATACAAATTGCTAGCACATGTTTAGGTCATATTGGAATATCCTCTAGAAATTGGTGACGCCACTCAGCTTCCTCTCCTGCTTTATTTAAAACAATAAACTCAGATTCCATTGTAGATCTGAAAATGCACGTTTGCTTAGAGGATTTTCAAAATACAGCTGCACCACCAAGTGTAAAAACATAACCACTTGTGAATTTTGTATCTTTCATATCAGATATCCAATTTGCATCATTATACCCTTCAAGTACAGCTGAATATCTTGTTAGTGCAATCCAAAATTAAGAGTATATTTTAAGTATCTAAGAACCCTGATAATTGCCTTCCAAAAGTCTACTCTCAGATTATTCGTATATCTACTCAATTTACTAACTGAGTATGTTATATCCGGTGTGGTGCAGTTCATGACATACATTAGACTGTCAATGATACGATAGTATTCCAATTGTGATATATTTTGACCAGTATTTTTAGACAAATAAAGATTTATATCAATTGGTATTCTTGCAATGCTGTTTTCATCTTTGTCGAACTTCTCAAGTATTTTTTCAATATAATGTGATTGAGATAATATAAGTCAATTAGATGTTATAGAAATTTTAATTCTTAGTATAACATCTGCAACACCAAAATCTTTCATGTCAAACTTACTAAATAACATTTTTTTGGTAGTTGTAATAATATTATTATTACTACCTAAAATAAAATAAGCATATCATCCACGTATAGGTAGACAATGACATATCTATTATTTGTGTCTTTGACATAAACACATTTATCACATTCATTAATTGTGAAACCATTTGACATTATTACTTTGTCAAATTTCACATTTCATTGTTTTAGTGCTTACTTTAAACTAAAAAGTGATTTAATAAGTTTATAAACCTTTTTCTCTTATCCCAGAGAAACTAACCAGTGTGATCCAACAAATATCGAAAATTAAATTTTGGATTAAGAAATTCAGGCTCAATTAATTAAACGAATTTTCTTCAAAAAAAATAGGGTTTGGTCTAAACCACACCCACACTCGAGTCGGGTCGGGTCGTGGAGTGGCAGGAGGCACGTTTGGTAGTACTGAAAGCATGTAGGCATTTGTTCCACTCATAAAATTGTAGAACCCCTTGGGGCCCAATCCCATAGAGCAAATTTGACTTATATATGTCCATGTAGAATTTTTTTCTCAACCAATGTGGAATTGGTGTCAAATCTCACATTGCACAACCTTTATTTTTACATTTTAAAAGGGTTATTTTTTAACCAATTTTCTCATTCATTTCTTACTCGATTTGAGCAAGTGAATATACTACATTATTCTTTTCATGGAGTAGAATACGAACCCACGAAAGTTTACTCGAAACAATGAACATATTCCATTTTAATTTAGGCTCAAAGTTGACCAAAAATTTAGTTTTTACACTTTAAAAACTGTTTTGGTCCAACGCAAAGTATATACAAGGGAGATTGTGATTGTGCAAACCCAAATTATCTAAGCATCATTTATCTAAGTTATAAGCCATAAACTTTGATTATATGAGCATTGAAAAGTATACGATCGTCCTATTTAATTGCCAATTGCAGAAAACACATTTGAGTTCGTGATTTTGCTTGAAAACCTGGACCTTATCTTGGGTATTTACTTCTCAGCCACATAAGAAAAGATTTCCTTTGAATCCCTTTTGCAAACCACGCTAATGGATGCCATACCACTCCATGGAAGACGCCTAGAGTTTCCTGAGCAAATTTAGCTGTAAAATGTCAATCTCAAAAAAAGCCTTTTTTTTTTTTTATCAAAAAAAAAAGGTCTTTGTTTTCAATTTTTTTTGGTTGGAATATAAGTGGGTTGCAGCATTTTCGGTTCAAAGGTTATGAGTTTTGACTTGATCATTATGCAATTAATACAGATTTTGTGTTACGCCGTCTAACACGACCAATTAAGTAGATCCAGTAAGGGTTAGCTGATATGCTCAATAACAATAAAAATTGATAAAACCCAACTACGACACGACTCGATTGAGATCTATTCTTCATCACCTTTTAGAGAGCAAACAATATGCAACCTTCCTGCATATAATAATGCCTTGTTCATCCATACATTAGGGTTATAATTTTGTTAAATTGATAAAAAAAATCCCGAGACAAGTCATAATATAAGGTGTTGTGAAGGTATAAATTTTCTCACTTTTTTTCCCTAAATATTCTCTGGTCTTGATTGCATACAAGTTCACAGTCAATTTCATCGCTTTAAAATGCTCTTTTAGGTAGAAATCTTTGCAGGAATTTTCAGCTAATGCCAATTTTGTGGGTTGCAGAGAAAATACGTAACATTCTCAGTATAGACATATTTGATCAGCCCTCCTACCTGCAATTTGTAGCAAAGAGCTTGTTTTCATACACTGTTGAGCTCAATGATAACGATTACACTAGGTTTTCTCACTATTTCGAACGATAATCTATAGGAGTCCTCATCTTTGTGCCCAAAGCCTACATACTTGATCTGCCACAGAATTTGAATTCCTCTTTAGGGTTAGTTTAGTTGATGTCAGAAAGACCATCCCGGACAGCTGAAAGTTGTTCTAAAAATTGCAGGCACTGTGCAAACCTCCAAACAAACTAATAACTAATTCCTATCTCATGTTGAATAGCTTTTCTACATCCCCAAGTAGCGTGTATTCTTTCTCCTGGTGTGAAAAGTGTTTGATTATAGATGCATTCTATATTGTTATTGTCAGATTCTTGTTGGGGCGTCAGATTGGGAAGACCATTTACTGGGGAAGCAAGGAGAAGAAAGATATAGGATTCACAACCTCCCCAATTGTTCTTCTTGCCCAGGAGTTTATGAGCTTGGCATATCTGTATCACGCCCCCGGTCAGGGCGAGATTTCAGCAAACTTGACCCAGATTTCATAATTCCTGTTTACATTGGTCAAGCTGACAGTGTTAGGACAAGACTCCAGCGGTATGGCCGTGATGGTGCTCATTTAGGGAATGGCTACTCAAACTGCGAGCTGAATAATGGCAGGAATTGTTTCGTCCTAAAAGGGCCAGGATTGTTTACAGATACATTCAAAAAAGGATTCTCCATCGTTTATAGATGGGCTCCAGTAAGTATATGATCTTTCAATTTTCACATTTGGATTGTTTGAATGTGCTTTTCCAACTTATGTTCTGTATTTGTGATACATATCATTTGATATAGCAAATTTTATGAAATCGTGAAGAGTATGGTTGGACCCATGTACATTATGAGTTCACAAAAAGTAAGTAGAAACTCCATGGAGGTCTGCAGATTTTTGCAATCAATTATACTTTTTTCTACTCACATTCTTCCCCGTGATTACTATATGCTTGTGGACTTCTGACACCATCATACAGGCTTGTTGTGCCATGCTTTATGGCTAAAATAATTAGTTCCTACTAAGGTGGATCATTTTGTTAAAATTATGATCATTTATGCAAGAACAAATAAAAAATAAGATTAAAACTGCTGCGTAAAAATCTAATTTTGTAGTTAATTTTGAAGTAGGATGCATCAAAATTTTAAGCACTACAGCTTCTGAAAAAAGCAAAAAAATAATTTCAATTACCGCCATTGTAGTATTTCAAAACAATATTTGCATACATTTTCTGGGACAAAAACAACATTTCATCATCCATTTTCTCTCCTTTCAACTGTAAATTCAGCCTTCCTATAAGATAGTGAATGAGCACTCGTTGGAGTGCCAAGTGGACTTATGCATCGATATATGCTTCAAAGTTACTTCTATCTTCCTTCAGGGATGGCAAGTGGAATGAAGGGGTTAAGTATAAAAGGCTTATTTCATAAAATTTTGCATATATTTGTGCATTATGATCTTACAAGCCAACAGACATGCATATAAACACACAAAATTTCCATAGCTACACAATACACATCAATTCTAATGACATATACATGTTCAGCTATTATTTGAGATCTGCCATGATTGTTTCATTCCTCTTCTTGAAGGTTCTTTTTGATGACCTTGTCTTGAATGTCATACAGATGAAAAATAAGAGGGAAGCTGAAAAAACAGAAGCTAAGCTGCTTGACAAATTTGATTATGCTTGGAACAAAGGCAGTAATGGAGAACGACGCCACAATGATGTTCTCCAAAAACTTGCTCAAATGTCTTCAAGTGATTTCCTTTCTCGAGTTTTCAAATTTGGCAGATCACAGCCTAGATTAGTTTCCGTGAGATTTGGTGTTGAGGGCCATGATAGCATTTGTGGTGTGGCTCTAGGTCATGGATCTATCTGTACAAGACCACCAACTGAGGGAAGAAAAAGGTGTGCTGAGCATAAAGGGATGAAAGTCAATGGTTCTAATACAATGTTCATTTGTGGAGTTTCCTTGCATGATGGCTCTACTTGTACGAGGGAACCAGTACAGGGAAACAAAAGGTGTGAGGAGCATAGAGGGAGAAGGATCCATGGATCCGTTTGTAGAACAGTGACAGAAGAGAAAGTACAATATGTGCCTGGTCCAGTTTTTGAATATAGGCAAAAGTCCCGTGTTTCCTCGGGGAGGTCTGGTGTCAACAAGGGTTACACTACTATATGTGGGGTGAATTTCGCAGATGGGACTTTCTGCACAAGGGAACCTGTTTTAGGACGAAAGAGGTGTGAGGAACATAAAGGGATGAGGGTTAAGGAGCCTAAGCCGAAATTGTTAGAAGCAGAAATACCCAGTGTGTTTGATGGTTCAGTTTCCCGAACTTGTAATGACAATAAGTACAATAATGCCCCTGCTCGGTCAGTCGATAAGGAATTTATTCCAACTTGTGGGGCAACAACCCTTGATGGTTCCTCATGCAGTAGGAAACCAGGTGAAGGTAACAAACGGTGTTGGCAGCATAAAGGAATGAAGGCTGACACAAGTTCGGGGTATTATGGCTCCTCTTCTCGATCGGCCTCATATAGTACTTTTATCGATGAGGGCTTTTCATCAACTTGTGGGGCAACCACCCTTGACGGTTCCTCGTGCAGTAGGAAACCAGCTGAGGGTAACAAACGGTGTTGGCAGCATAAAGGAATGAAGGCTGACACAAGTTCGGGGTATTATGGCTCCTCTTCTCGATCGGCCTCATATAGTACTTTTATCTATGAGGGTTTTTCATCAACTTGTGGGGCACTCTGCCGTAATGGTTCCTATTGCCGTAGGGCACCAGCTCAAGGGAGGCGAAGGTGTTGGCAGCATTAAATCCTTCTGTAGCAGCACAATGCAGGAGTTTGTTCCCACTTGTTAAATTGTCTAAATGAGTAGTGTATATTTAAACCTCTCCAAATTCTGCAGTTGCTAGATTCTGGTGCAGTGGGCTCTCTTGTAGGAGAATGCCAATTCCTAGAATGAAGAGGCCTAAGAAGCTTAAGGGAATGAGAGTTACAACTCCCAGAAGGAAACTGGTCCTCTGAGCTGAATCAGGTTAATGTGTATGGCTATTAAATTATGTTTGATTTTGTTTCGCGACAATAGTTGATATTGTATGCAACTTGGTATCATAAGAAAGTGTGTTCTATTTAATGGTTCGCAGTTTACTTTGATTGTGTAGTGTAGTGTAGTTGATGGGTCCGTTATCTCTAAATGCTTAATCGGCATAACACCCGATGGTGAAATAAGGATTATTGGACCAGTCATACGTCAGTTTCATACCCATGTGCTGTCTGACCCTCTCTGGATTCTCTAATGGCAAGAGCTTGTATTATTTTCTTTAACCATTTCTATGGGTTCAACTGTATCACCGAAAAATAGTTTTGTTATAATACATCAAATAAAATTTTGAAAAAGTCAAAATGTGTACCCAGATAGAATAAAGTTATGAAAATGGAAACTTAATGACTTGACATCAAGAGTTATATACTTAACATCCAATAAATCTAATTTTGTGTAATTTTTTACAATTCTCTATAAATAATACAGTTAAGTCATTTATTGATTTTTAATTACAAGTCTTATTTATTGGCTTTAAAAAATTTTAATTGGGTTATATTTTTATAGGGTTTTTTTTACTAGGCCTAAACATGTTATAAATATAAATCTTTGGCATAAGTTACTAATACACACAAATTTTGGGTCTTCCATCCAGGCGGTACGGTAGCGACTTAGTGATTGAGCCGGCCCTTAATGTAAGACCTCCAAATAAAATTTTGATAGAATTACGCTGAGATCGTTTGAATTTTGTCACTTAATCATTCAGACTTCTTGACATTTAAAATATTAAACACAGACTTCCTGAGATTCGTATGCACATAACACTTAGACCCCTATCGTCAAATGTCCGTTAGTAAATTACACTCAGACTCTCTAAAGTTTGTAGGCATATAATATCTGAACCCTTCAAATTTAAAATATTATATTTAGACAAAAAATCATTCAACCAAAGATAGAATATCAATTTTGTTAAAATTTTATAACCAAAATTCATGTTTCATTGTATCATTTATTGAAATAAAATTTAAAATAAAAAATTATTTTTTTCTTAATACAATTATATTATTTATTAAAATAAAACTAAAAAATTAAATAAAGGGTATAAGTCATTCATAATAGAACATGAATTTTACAACCAAAATTAATATTATATTATATAATTTATTGAAATAAAATAAAAAAAAATTTTTTAAAAAAAAAAAATCATAAATAGTATACAATTATAATATCTATTGAAATTTAATTTGGTCGTTTAAACGACCAAATTAAACTACCAAATTACCCCAATTAAAACTAGAATATATTGTGTCCATTAGAGTTTGACTCCTTATTTGATATTTTAGTTTTTATTTTAATAGATAGTATAATTGTATATTAATTATAATTTTTTAAAGAAAAATTAGATTTTTATTTTATTTTATTTTAATAAATGTCATAATTGAACATGAATTTTGATTATAAATTTAAAATATTTGATATTCTATCTTTGATTGAATTATTTTTAGTCTAAATATAACATTTTAAACTTGAGAGGTCTATGTATTATACGCCTACAATCTTCAGAGGGTCTAAATATAATTTATTAACAAATATACTAACGGATATTAACAGTAACAGTGTAAGTGTTACGTGCTCCAAATTTTAGGGAATTTGTGTATAATATTTTATATGTCAAAGGATTTGAATGATTAATTGACAAACTTCAAAGAATCTAAATTTAAGTCCTCCAATTAATTTTTTTTAAAGTTGTTTGAAAAATAAAACAATTATTTAGAGGTTTTTGAGAAATTTGGAGGCCGGTCCCTTTATATGGACTTGTTTGAACTTAAGTTCGTCAGAAAACTTATTTGTTATGAAGTCCATTTTTTGTCAATTTTACCATACTATCCTTCCCCTTTAGAAGTGAAATAAAATTAAAAATTAAAAACTCATAAATCTTGGGAGTTTGACTAATATTAAAATATTTTCTCTCTCATATCTATTTATATCCATATATAGGTTAAGAATTTGACTAACATTATTTTTTTTTATTTGAATATTATTATTTTATATTTTTAATGTTACTATATATAAATAAAAAAAATAATACATTTAAACACAAAAAAATAGTACCATTTAAACATAAAAAAATTAAAGTTGACAAATGGTTTAATGTGCTTATCTCTATTGAACAAAAAAAAAAAAAAAACACATTCTGTTTGGTCATCCCATTTACGCCAATTTGGCATTGTCTTTGATAGAATTTTTTATTGGTATGAGTGATTTATTTTTGATTAAATTAGAGAGTAAATTAATCGAAATATGTGTAAGTTGACTCAGACACTCCTAAATATTTAAAAAAAAAAAAAATTATTTTCCGAAGAAACAGGAGAAGAAAACTTTGTTTTCTAAGCTTTTTTGGCTTTATCTTTTAACAAAAATATTGTCAAATGACTAGTATAATCTATTGAAACAAACGGCAAGATGAGATTTTTTTTATTAGATTGTGATCTATCTTTTTAATTGAATTCTATCAAGTATATATATGTATATTGAAGGGTATATAGATATATCGCGCACTTAACATCAAAGAGCTAAACAGCAAGTTTCCATCATTGTTGCACAACATTCTGGTAATGGAGTCTCGCATACCAAATTGCCCCGTCTTTGTATTTGAAAAAATTCATCAAGAAAACTCAAATTGAGAGATTTCAAGAATTATTATATCACAATTTAAGTTCAGTCTTACAAGAATAGCTATTTATTTATACGCATGATTTGTGAATAATTACGCATGTCAAAAATTAGCATTATATCAACGATTCCAAAGAGCACATGTTTAGAATGGTTTCTCTCTTTACAAGCAGCCCATACCCGGGCCATGACTGAAGCTTCGATCCCCGACTCCCAAATGTAATAATGTGCTTACAAGTATGCAATATCATCGCGATAAGTATTAAGTATAACAGTTACACTACATCAGTCATATGTTATCTATTATTTTCATTCAAAAATAAATTAGATTATTCATTACTCTTCAGCCAAATATTTTAAAAAAAATTTGTTGCAAACATACACTGCGGTGAGTAAGTTAAAAATAATAATTAAGAACTCTGACAAGATATTTACGTGGTTAGATAAAAATTTTGCTTGTGTTTCATGGAAGCTACCTAAGGCCTCTGTTGCTGTATACAAATGTGAACCACTCTGTAGCAGACCTTGCGCTCCTACTACGTTTTAGCCACATCCTTGGCATCTTTCTCCAAGACCAAGATCCTATAAAGAGGTAGACATGTCGGTAAGGGTCCGTAACGGATGTGCAGGGCCAGGCCTACTTAACCCATTGCTCACGGTGGGCCACATACGGCCTAATAGACTTAAGTGTAAAAAAATACATAAAAAAAAATATTGAGTAATTAAGTTTTTAATTTTGATACTTATTTATATCTAAGTACATTATTTGAATTTTACTGATTTTTTTTTTATATTTTCACCTTCCATTAATCCATGTGTATTTAATGCACCACTTTTTTTTAGAAAGTGGTGCATTAAACATCTTTTAGTTTTATGAGAGAATTTTAATACATATATATATATATATATATATATATATATATATATCCATTTATATAAATACTTATGTATGTATATTCTTATTGTTAAATCTCTTATTTTAATTTTAAATTATCTTTTAATGCATCTTAATTTATTCATTTTTATTTTTTGAAAAGTGATTTTATTTTTAAATTAATCAATATTCGAATAGTGTAATAGTATAACAATAACAGTATAACAGTAACAGTGTAACACTAACAGTGTAACGGTATAACAATAACAGTGTAACAAGTTATTTACACAAAATATTATACTATTACAATTTGTCAAATATATAGTTTCAAATAATTTCATTCAAAATAGTACATCTCCGTTTTGAATTTGTTATCACATATACAAATCTACTGAACATTGTTTTTGTTACAGTGTATTTGTTACACTGTCTTTGTACACTATTACATTATTCGGATATTAAATTAATTTAAAAATAAAATAATTTTTCAAAAAAAAAAATGCTCGAATCTAGGTGCATTAAATATAATTTGAAAAAAAATCACTTTCCAAAAAAAAAAAACGCATAAATCAATGTGTATTAAAGATAATTCAAAATTTAGATAAGAGATTTAACAATAAGTATATATATATATTTTTTTTTACATGTATTAACAAATACACATGAATTGAGGTGCATTAAATATATATTTATATGTATTAACAAACACACATGAATCAATGTGCATTAAAAATAAAAAATTTTTGAATTATATGACCTTAAAATGGACATTTATGTCTTCGTAACTTAGTTATATATATATTTTTAAAAATATTTTATTTTATATATCTTTTGTCAAATAAATCTAATTAGATATATTGACTTCCAAAAACCCCTTTTCTAATGTTTCATCGAACCAACGCCCAGTCCGTCGTGGGCATACTAGACGGGGCAGCTTAACAGGCCTAAAGGGCTAAAAATCATGGCCCGTGGCCCTTCCAGTGGACTATCATGCTATCCATGGTAACAAGGCCAACGGGCCATTGACCCACACCTAATACGAAGCGCCTATTTGGGGAAAATTGTAAACAGCTTACAAGGGAAAATGAAGAACTATCATTCGGTGCTTCAAGTTGCTGTTAAAAGAAAGATTACTCTCTCTCTCTCTTTCTCTCTCTCTCTCTCTCTCACACACACACAAAATGGTGGATCATCCAAGTTAAAATATATGGATCAAATTGATATCAACTAAGTAACCTTACCCTTAAAGCTTACATTTCATCATGAAAATGGCTACATGTAAAAATAAACTTAGTAAGTGGGACTTGAAGATAACATGAAAGATGTGAAACTAAGGAATTGCAAAATTATTTTTTTTGGTTCTATCAATTAATACATGTTAGGTAGATTTTTTTTTATTTTTTTTATTTTAGTTGACTATATTTACTATCAACAACTGCAAATAGATTAAGGCAAATTTTACGAATAAAAAGTATTACTATTAAAAAACCACTCCTTGTGCCATAGTGCTATGACTTTAGTTTCTCTTTTCAGTACATTTTCTACCAGAGGGAAAAAAACTAGTTGAGAACATGACTTTAGTCTTTATGTCATCCATTAATGGCAGACTTGGCTGTTTGTCATAGACTCATAATACAGAGCGTCTTATGCAATACCAACTAGATTACTCCATGCAGTGCTATGGCTAACTTGGCAGAGGTAGGAAAAATATTTCACGTAGTAATAGAAGTGAATTGTAAACTAAGGCATTAAAAATTTGAATTTTGATAATTTTTTGAGATTAGGTCATGAGAGATTTATCTCTCATAAATATTTTAATTTCGACATACATAATTTACTTTTTACTAGACCAGAGAAATAATTGAGATTCGTATAAACTAACATGAATACCTCTGAATGTTGAAAAAAAAAAAAAAAAAAAGAAAGGAAAGGATGACCTAGAATCTAGTTTTTTAGTAGTTAAGGAACAAAAAAAAAGAAAAGAAAAGAAAAGAAATGAAAGGGTGACCTAGAATCTAGTTTCTTAATAGTTAAGGAACAACAACAAATAAAAAAGATAAATGTTTGTGGTGCAATGGTACATGCAAACGAATGAACAAAACCCAATCTTAAAAACAGGGCTCCCAATTCTCTCCCATCTCCTTTTGCTTTTGTTGGAACCACACACACACTCTCTCTCTCTCTCTCAAGTTGAAGTATCAAACTTTTGCTTGTTGTTATTAGGTGCAAGAGTAATGTTATTAAAATTTAATTTAAATACTTAATCATGACTTAATTTAGTCAACAATTATAATGAATTAGGTTCTTAGATTAAATCCTTAAGTTAAATATAAAAACTTTTTTAACTTAATTCAGTCAACAATGTAAATCCTCAAGTTAAATATAAAAAGCATTTTTCTAATTTCAAAGATGTTCATTTTTTTTTCGATTAAAATTATAGGAGGTTGCTAAAATCCACCCTACACAACCATATTATTTTTTGGAGATAAGTTATCATTGGCATCACATCATTATTATCACCGGTCAATAATAAGGTATAATTACATTTTCTTCCTTAAAAAATTTAAGAATTTAGACTTTATGTATTAAATTATATATGTTATACCCTCAATATGTTAAAAGTATTATAACGTGTCCTTTTAATTAAATTTTGTTACTCATTTCATCAAAAATTACTCTATAAACTACAACAAAATAAATAACAAAAACTGACAAAAAAAACCTATTATAATATTTTTAATATATTAAAACTGTTATGGAAAAAATCAGAATAGCGCGTATGACAGAAGTGATGGCATACAATTTCTTATGTTTTTTTGCTCAGGGTTCTATCATTCAACTTAGGATCCCTTTGGTATTATGTAGTTTTAATAGGTAAAACAGTCATTTTAAAATATGACAAGACTTTCTAAACGGCGAGATCAATGGTACTTTTCTTGAGTGAGGGTGGAGCGAGGGAGCTCAATGGCTGCCCTTGAGAAGGCTGTCGTCTCCCCCAGCGTCAGGTTGAAGAGGGAAGACTGTAAGCGCACCAAGCATGACTCTGCTTTCTCTGATTGGAAGGTCAGTCTCCTCTCTCTCTCTCTCTCTCTCTCTCTGTCTATATATATATATATATATATATATACATACTAAATTCAACCGCTGGATTTCACCAACAATGCCATCTCTTTTATGATTGCCCTAAACCGAGTAATGTTAAGTAAAAACTGAATACACACCCACACCCACACCCACAAAAAAAGAGGTAAAAAAACAAATGCAAAATATGAGACTAGATCACAGAGTCCAGTTAATTTGAATGGGTCAGTCTTCTTGGATCAATGCAGCTGCCAAAGTCAGTTTACACAGTCTTACAGATAGATTTCCCTTCCAATGGATACTTGCCCTACAAAGTCTGTACAAGGGAGATTGTGCTTGTGCAAACCCAGATTATCTAAGCATCATTTCTCTAAGTTATAAGGCATAAACTTTGAGTATATGAGCATTGAAAAGTATATGATCGTCCTATTTAATTGCCAATTGCAGAAAACACATATGAGTTGGTGATTTTACTTGAAAACCTGGACCTTATCTTGGATATTTACTTCTCAGCCACATAAGGAAAGATTTCCTTTGAATCCTTTTTGCAAACCACACTAATGGATGCCATACCACTCCATAGAAGACGGCTATAGAGTTTCCTGAGCAAATTTAGCTGTAAAATGTCAATCTCAAAAAAGTTAATTTTTTTCCTGATTCTTGAGCTGGTTTTGTGTAAATAATTGTTCATTTAGAGGGTCTTTTTGGTTTTCCTAGGATTAGGACTGATTAAAGTTTAATTTACGGGTATCTACTGGTAGTGGGTTTGGTTGGGATATAAGTGGGTTGCGGCGTTTTCTGTTCAAAGGTTATGAGTTTTGACTTGATCATGATACAATTAATACAGATTGAGTTGGTGTTAGGCCGTCTGACATGACCAATTAAGTAGATTGAGTGAGGGTTAGCTGATATACTCAATAACAATATAAAATGATAAAACCCAAATACGACATGACTCGATTGAGACGTATTCTTCATCACCAGAGCAAACAATATGCAACCCTCCTGCATATAATAATGCCTTGATCATCCATACATTAGGGTTGTCATTTTGTTAAATTTAAAAAAAAATCCCAAGACAAGTTCTAATATAGGGGTTGTGAAGGTATAAATTTTCTCACACTGTTTTTTCCCTAAATATTCTCTGGTCTTGATTGCATACAAGTTCATAGTCAATTTCATCGCTTTAAAATGCTCTTTTAGGTAGAAATCTTTACAGAAATTTTCAGCTAATGCCAATTTTGTGGGTTGCAGAGAAAATACGTAACACTCTCAGTATAGACATGTTTGATCTGCCCTCCTACCTGTAATTTGTAACAAAGAGCTTGTTTTCATGCGCTACACTAGGTTTTCTCACTATTTCGAACGATAATCTGTAGGAGTCCTCATCTTTGTGCCCAAAGCCTACATACTTAATCTGCCACAGAATTTGGATTCCTCTTTAGGGTTAGTTTAATTGATGTCAGAAAGACCATCCCGGAGAGCTGAAAGTTGTTCTGAAAATTGCAGGCACTGTGCAAACCTCCAAACAAACTGATATCTAATTCCTATCTCTTGTTGAATAGCTTTTCTACATCCCCAAGTAGCGTGCATTCTTTCTCCTGGTGTGAAAAGTGTTTGATTATAGATTGCATTCTATATGGTTATTGTCAGATTCTTGTTGGGGCGTCAGATTGGGAAGATCATATACTGGGGAAGGAAGGAGCAGAAAGATATAGGATTCACAACCTCCCCAATAGTTCTTCTTGCCCAGGAGTTTATGAGCTTGGCATATATGTATCACGCCCCCAGTCGGGGCGAGATTTCAGCAAACTTGACCCAGATTTCGTAATTCCTGTTTACATTGGTCAAGCTGACAATGTTAGAACAAGACTCCAGTGTTATGGCCGTGAAGGTGCTCATTTGGGGAATGGCTCCTCAAACTGTGAGCTGAATAATGGCAAGAATTTTTTGGCCCTCAAAGGGCCAGGATTGTTTACAGAGATATTCAAAAAAGGATTCTCCATCGTTTATAGATGGGCTCCAGTAAGTATACAATCTTTCAATTTTCACATTTACATTGTTTGAATGTTCTTTTCCAGCTTATGTTCTGTATTTGGAATAAATATCATTTGGTATGGCAAATTTTATGAAATCGTGAAGAGTATGGTTGGACTCACGTACATTATGAGTTCACAAAAGGTAAGTAGAAATTCCATGGAGGTCTGCAGATTTTTGCAATCAATTATACTTATTTTCCTTCAATGTCTATTTTCAATGTTCACATTAACATTTCTACTCACATTCTTCCCTGTGATTACTATATGCTTGTAGACTTTTGACACCATAATACAGGCTTGTTGTGTCATGCTTTATGGGTCAAATAATTAGTTCCTGCTAAGGTGGATCATTTTGTTAAAATTATGATCATTTATGCATGAACAAATCAAAAATAAGAATAAAACTGCTGCGTAAAAATCTAATTGTGGAGTTAATTTTGAAGTAGCATGCATCAAAATTTTAAGCACTACAGCTTCTGAAAAAAGCAAAAAAATAATTTCAGTTACCGACATTGTAGTATTTCAAAACAACATTTGCATACACTTTTCGGGACAAAATCAACATTTCATAATCCATTTTCTCTCCTTTTCAACTGTAAATTCAGTCTTAGCTATAAAATAGTGAATGAACACTCGTTGGAGTGCCAAGTGGAATTATGCACCGATATATGCTTCAAAGTTACTTCTATCTTCCTTCAGGGATGGCAAGCAGAATGAAGGGGTAAAGTATAGAAGGCTATTTCATAAAATTTTGCATGTATAAACAAACACAAAAATCTTCCATAGCTACATAATATACATCAATTCTAATGACATATACATGTTCAGATATTATTCGAGATCTGCCATGATTGTTTCATTCCTCTTCTTGAAGGTTCTTTTTTGATGACCTCGTCTTGCATGTTCAACAGATGAAAAATAAGAGTGAAGCTGAAAAAACAGAAGCTCAGCTGCTTGACAAATTTGATTATGCTTGGAACAAAGGCAATAATGGAGAACGTCGCCACAATGATGTTATCCAAAAGCTTGTTCAAAGGTCTTCAAGTGCTTCTAGGTTTCCTCTCATTGCCAAGAAGGTTCAAGTTTTTCGTCAGAAGCAAGTGGGTGTCAGAATCAGCAAGCCAGTATTGTTGGAGGACGGATCCATTATATACACTAATCAGGGGAGCAGTGATTTCCTTTCTCGAGTTTTCAAATTTGGCAGATCACAGCCCAGATTAGTTTCAGTGAGATTTGGTGCTGAGGGCCATGATAGTATTTGTGGTGTGGCTCTAGATCATGGATCTATCTGTACAAGACCACCAGCTGAGGGAAGAAAAAGGTGTGCTGAGCATAGGGGGATGAAAGTCAATGGTTCTAATACAAAGTTCATTACAGGTGGGAAATCACCTGCAGGTGATTTGAACATGGGATCAGGTATTATTATTGACCCAATCTATAATGAGCTTCAACCAGCTCCAGTTAGACATCCAGTCAATGAAGGCTTCTCTCCTATATGTGGAGTTTCCTTGCATGATGGCTCTACTTGTACGAGGGAACCAGTACAGGGAAACAAAAGGTGTGAGCAGCATAGAGGGAGAAGGATCCATGGATCCGTTTCTAGAACAGTGACAGAAGAGAAAAAACATTATGTGCCTGGTCCAGTTTTTGAATATAGGACTCCTTGTAATGATCATGATCAGATCTCCTCTGCAACTCATAGACCTGGAAGGCAACAGTCTCCTGTTTCCTCGGGGAGGTCTGGTGTCAACAAGGGTTACACTACTATATGTGAGGTGAATTTAGGAGATGGGACTTTCTGCACAAGGCAACCTGTTGTAGGACGAAAGAGGTGTGAGGAACATAAAGGGATGAGGGTTAAGGATCCTAAGCCGAAATTGTTAGAAGCAGAAATACCCAGTGTGTTTGATGGTTCAGTTTTCCGAACTTGTAATAACAATAAGTACAATAATTCCCCTGCTCGATCAGTCGATAAGGAATTTATTCCAACTTGTGGGGCAACAACCCTTGATGGTTCCTCATGCAGGAGGAAACCAGGTGAAGGTAACAAACGGTGTTGGCAGCATAAAGGAATGAAGGCTGACCCAAGTTTGGGGTATTATGGCTCCTCTTCTCAATCGGCCTCATATAGTACTTTTATGTCTGAGGGTTTTTCATCAACTTGTGGGGCACCTTGCCGTAATGGTTCCTATTGCCGTAGGGCACCAGCTCAAGGGAGGCAAAGGTGTTGGCAGCATTAAATCCTTCTGTAGTAGCACAATGCAGGAGTTTGTTTCCACTTATCAAATTGTCTAAATGCGTAGTGTACATTTAACCCTCCCCAAAATCTGCAGTGGCCAAAATCTGGTGCAGCAGTGGGCTCTCTTGTAGGAGAATGCCAATTCCTGGAATGAAGAGGCCTAAGAAGCTTGAGGGAATGAGAGTTACAACTCCCAGAAGGAAACTGATCCTTTGAGCTGAATCAGGTTAATGTGTATGGCTATTATATTATGTTTGATTTTGTTTCCTGATAATAGTTGATATTGTGTGTAACTTGTTATCATAAGAAAGTGTGTTCTGTTTAATGTTTCGCAGTTTACTTTGAATGTGTAGTGTAGTGTAGTGTAGTTGATGGGTCCGTTATCTCTAAATGCTTAATCGGATAATTGGACCAGTCATACATCAGTTTTATACCCATGTGCTGTCTGACACTCTCTGCATTCTCTAATGGCAAGAGTTCGTATCATTTTCTTTAACCATCTCTACATCGCCGAAAAGTAGTTTTGTTACCATCCGTCAAAGAAAATTTTGAAAAAATTAAAATGTATACCTAGATTCAATAAAGTTATGAAGCTGAGAATTTAATGACTTCACATTAAAAATTTATATTTAAGGCCAAAAAGTCTAATTTGATATATTCTTTTATAATTCTCCGGAAATAATATAGTTAAGTCATTTATAAATTTTTAATTATGGGTTTTATTTATTTACTTTAAAATTTTTTAATTGAGTTATATTTTTATAGATTTTTTTTACTAAGCTTAAACATGTTATAAAAAAAATTAGGGTTAGTAACGTTATTAGGATCTAATTTATTGTCATCTTTGAATTTACTGTAGATCTCAATAAACATTAAAATTTAGAGTTGACCAAATAATTCATATAAAATTATATTATGTTAATAAATTAAATTATATTATTAACTCAAAATAATATTACTCAAATAATTATATCACGTCAAAAAGAAAAAAATAAATAAATAAAAAGTAGAAGAAAGAAATTGGTTATATGTCACATCATTTAGGCCCAACTCAGAAATCGACGTGACAGCGTCTGAACCTCTTGTGTCTACAATCAATCTCGTCCCTATCTAGATAGCCATCGGCTATAAATTCATCAACAGAGAAGGACGACACACTGTAACATAACCCTTTCGTAATTTCCTACCACGACTCGACTTGGTCAAAAATTCAAATCATTTTTACTCTTTAAGATCATCCCTAATTCTTACCTATTTGTTTATTTAAATTTAAATTTAGATAAAAATAATTTTAAATACTTCTTTAAATATTAAACTTATACTCATAAAAAAAAATTGATTTTTAAATTCCAATAAAAATAGATCTTTTTTTTTAAACTCAAATTTTTAATAGTAAAATTACATCTACTATCTTTTAAAAATTCAATGATCATAATTTTTTTTTAAATTTGAATTTATCTTCATCTAAATTTGAATTTTTCTTCTTTTAAATTTGAGTTTTGTTATTGGAGAGATTTATACCAAATTAAATTATTTTACTCTTTTTTATATTTAAATTTAAGTAAAAAATTGAGTTTTCATTGAGATAGTTTTAAAACATCTCCAATTTTACTCAAATTTAAATTAATATGTGAGCAAAAATCTTAATTTGATACAAATGACTCTAATGGACAAATTCAAATTTAAACTAGAGTAAATCTAAATTTAAAATAGAGTAAAGATGAACATTAAATCCTTAAAAAATAGTGAAATTTCATCATTAAAAATTTAAATAAAAATTTAATTTAATATAAATTTGAGTCAAAAGTTGAATTAAGCTTTTTAAATATTTTTACTCTAATTTAAGTTTAAATTTGAATTAAGGGTGGGATGATGGTAAAAAAACGACTATTAACACTGATTCCATGGCATATCATCTGGGCCCAACTTCGGAAGCCGGCATGACGACATCTGAACCTCTTGTCACGACAATCAATCTCATCCCTATCTAGACAATCATCGACAATAAATTCATCAACAAAGAATGATGACACACTATAACATAACCCTTTCATAATTTCCTCCCAAAGCTGGACTTGGTAAAAACAACCATTTTCAGTGTCGCCCTCGGTCTCTCTCACATCCTCGTAGAAGAGGCCCATTAACACTTCTCCCCCACGCGCCATTCACAACGACGACGTCTCCGATGCCTGCCGGTGAATTCGTCAGCCCAATCCCACCACCTCCGGATTCCGCCGAAGAAGAGTCGTGGCTGTGGACCCGGATCAAAGACGAGGCTCGGCGTGACGCCGAATCCGAACCAGCTCTCGCCAGCTATCTCTACTCCACTATCCTCTCTCACTCTTCTCTCGAGAGGTCTCTATCCTTCCACCTTGGGAACAAGCTGTGTTCTTCAACCCTTCTTTCAACTTTGCTCTATGACCTCTTCCTCGACACCTTCTCCAACGACGACGCTCTCCGGTCAGCCACCGTCGCTGACCTTCGCGCCGCCAGGTTTCGTGACCCGGCTTGTGGTTCTTTCTCTCACTGCTTGCTTAATTACAAAGGGTTTCTGGCTTGTCAGGTGAGATGAATTCACAAATTTTATGAACAGTGACATATACCTGTTTGGATTTGGTTTGATTTTGTTATCAACGTTATCACAAGAATTCTGTCAACATCCATATGTTAGTTAGAAAATATGTGACGAATGCTATTGAAGCTTTGGTGAAACTTATATGAATCACAGGCGCCACAGTAGTTTTCTTTTCATTCTTTTATGTTAGGGTTTATTGCCTAATAAAGTAGTACAATACTGTGTCTAACAACCATTACATTGTGATACGAAACATGAGAACAGCACAAATAATATAAATATTTGTGGGTGTATATGGTCCATTCTTCCAAACAACAAGCACCCTTGGGGTAGAGTTAATTAAGGTATGGTATAGCAGCCTTGCTGAGCGAGCCTCTGGATCTCCGATGAACCCCCATGATGTGGTAAAGGGAGGATATTAGGGAAGCAGTGAGTGAAGATTCCCCTGCAGAAAGCATGATGAATTTTTAGGGAAGAAAAAATGTTCATTAGCAAAAGGGAGTTGGCATAGTCGGGTCTTATAACAAATGCACTCTTGTAATGCTATTGGTTTTCTCATATGACATCTAAGAGGAAAAAGGATCGTTCCAAATTCCAATAATTATAATTTAGAAGAGTGATATATGCTCTCGGGTGACACCAGATTGAAGCAGAAAAAGTAAGAGGAATCACTGGTTTTATTGGTGCAAGTAAAAAGTTGTGTCAATCCCTAGTGTCGAGTTAAAATTAGTTTTTGTATATGATCTACTTCACCTAAAATTCAACAACCATTTACTCATTTTGTAAGGGTTATAAAATTAGAAATCCTATTTTTGTTGTTTGTTAAAGTTGTATGTGAAATTATAGTGAAAATGATAAAGAAACGGCAACTCATAGGTAGTGAAAGTAGCCTACCGGAGGTATAGCAAACGCGAACTCATAGGGTTGTGACTTAAATGTGATAAAAGTCATGCCTACCGGAGGTATAGCAAACGCGAGTCCCTATAGGGCAATTGTCAATGCTTAAATGTGATAACTCGAAGTGAACCTTTCATGCTTTGTCTGGCAAGCTTGCAAATAGTACCCACTATTCCTCTCAGAAATTGAAGCAGAGAGTGTTTTGTGTCATTAGTAGATAAATTCATGGTATCGTTTGGTCTTTCGCGGTGTCTGCAAAAATGATGGGTTATTGTTTGGAAAGTGCTATTCGCACTCCCCTTGTCAACTGCAGCACTCCAAGTTTTCAGTAAGCTGAATTGCCGCAGTCAAAAAGCAAAATTGCAAATAATATTCCCTGATGTTTCTCATAAGTAGGTAATCCTCAGTCCCTGCAATTTTTTTTTTACCATATATCAGGCTAGACTGCTAGACTTTCAGGGGGAAGTTACTTGTTGAATGCTGATCCTCTACGGACATGGCAAATGTTTCATATTGTGTATGTGTTTGTGCTTATACGCGAATTAATCAGAATATTTTCACATCCACGAGGCCCACCGTGTGGTACACTGGCTCTGAACTCAGTTGCAAAAACCACTAGTCTTCACTTGCCTCGTTCTAATGTGTTCCTGTTCTTTAGCTAGAATTGATAGGCTTAAAACTACTGTGTTTGTGCACTTTTATAAGTTGGACAGTGTGGTGCTTTTATCAACTTTTAAATGATGATTTGCTACCAATCGAGTAAAGATTAGATAGTGAGAGCTGATCTTGAATGTCTCGACGAATCATTAACCTCCGAGAATTTAAATCTTCCTACTGTATTATTACTGATATTGTTTAACAAATCATTGTCATATACATCAGGCTCACCGAGTGGCACACAAGCTTTGGACACAGTCCCGAAGATCATTAGCTCTTGCACTCCAATCCCGAATATCTGATGTCTTTGCAGTTGACATCCACCCAGCAGCCAAAATTGGCAAAGGCATTCTCTTTGACCATGCAACTGGAGTGGTTGTCGGCGAGACTGCAGTGATTGGCAACAATGTCTCAATTCTCCACCAAGTAACTCTAGGTGGGACTGGTAAGGCCGGAGGTGACCGGCACCCAAAAATTGGCGATGGAGTGCTAATTGGTGCGGGGGCAACGATATTAGGCAATGTGAAGATTGGTGAGGGTGCAAAGATTGGTGCCGGGTCAGTGGTTTTGATCAATGTGCCACCAAGGACAACTGCTGTGGGTAATCCGGCGAGGTTGGTGAAAGGAAAGGCCACGCCAACAGAGCTTGATGAAGTACCTGGGGTGTCTATGGATCATACTTCATATATTTTCGATTATGTGATATGATTTGAATATGATTGTACCGGCAATTTGGCATTGAAGTTTTATCAGAGGGAAGGTATTTTTAGTCAATTAAGACCATCCTGTATTTGGTCTGTTGCTACTTACCTGGCTGGTAGGTGTTACCCACATGAATGCTTGCAGTAATATGTATTATTATCGACCTTTTTGGTTTTTGTGGTTTTGGAAAATATGTGACAACAATAGACAGGGTATTGAGGCATAGATGTAATTTAATGGGATTTTTTTTGGAGGCATAGGATTTTAATGGTGCTGCTATGGCGGGTGACCATTGAGGCCTGCCCCTTCTTAAATGGATATGCATATTGTGATGAAATGGATACGCCCGCAGAAGCATTCCCAAGTGCCGAATATGTGACATTTTTCGGCAATAATTTGAACGGTAGTTAGTGCTACAGATCACATTGGTTCAGTGTGTAAACTTTTGAAAATCAAATTGGCGAAATTAAGTTTCAAGGACTAAAGTGCGACAAGCGACAAATTTTAAGGACTATTGGTGTAATTTATCCAAAAATAAGAGAGCGAGGATTAGTAGAGTTGTTTGTCATTAGAGGGTATATTGAATGAATTATGTGACATTAAAGATTGTTGTAAAAGAATTGAATTTTTTAGGGAAAAAAATTAAGCTTTTTGCACTTTGCACCCCCGAAAGATGTATCGATTTTCACTTTGTACTCTGAAAATTATTTTTCTGATAAGCATCCTGAATGTAATTGGTTTCAATGTGACTTTTAGACTAACAACTGTTTTAATTTCGTTAAAAATTAAAACACATGTCACTCATAGATATGAATGGTGAATTTATATTTTTGTCCAAGAGCAACACATGCAGGTGGTATGTGCATTAATTTTTAATAGAATCTGAAAAAGATGTTAGTCCAAGGACCACGTTAAAATCAATTTATGATATTTAAGGTGCAATGTGAGAAAAATAATATTTCGGAGTGCAAAATGAAAATCAAGACATCCACAAAACCAAAAAAAAAGAAGATAAATTTTATACTATTTGATCAAAATAAATTAATTTTTAATAATTATTGTACTTTTTATTGGGTGACAATTCAAGGAACCTAATTGTAATATTGGACAGATTCTGTTTAAATCTTGAATAAGTTTTAAAGGGTTCGTTTATTTAGCGGGAGAATAGTAAAAAATGCAAGACAGAGAATTTTTTAAAATTTTCATATGTTTGATTAGTATGAAAAGTAAAATGATAGAAAAAATAATTTTCTTTTATATTTGAATTTTCTCACAGAAAACTAATTTTTTGTTCTTGTAAAAAATATAAGGAAATATAAGAAAGTTGTGATATATAACTAATTTTTCATTTTACCCATATTTTTTAAAAATATTTGATTAGTTATTAATTTTAAAAAAATTTGGTATGAATTTAATTAATCATATAATTTAACTCAAAGACCTTTGTATGATTGTCCTATAACTAGGTTTCGAGCAACTTTTTTAAAAAAATTTAACTTTCAATTATAATTATATTTTTTTCCCTTTTTAAACTAATTTAATATAATTAAGAGTAATTTAGACAATTATGAAAAAAAATTTAAAACTTTTCTTTCTTTCAACCAATAAAATGATTTTTTTTTTAAATTTTTCCATAAAATTTTCATTTTAACCAAATACATGCATGAAAATTGACGAGCCCAAATCTTATTAGATCTGGCCGAACCAATCAATGGAGCCCAAATCAGCCACAAAGCAGGTCAAGTCTAGTTTGTTAATTCGACCCAGCCAAAGTCCAAAGGGGCCAAGAAGACTAGAGCATATGGGGAGTAATCATTGAAATACACATTCTTGAAAATCAAGGCTACCTTTAATTACACTTTCCTATTGTAGTTGTCCTCCCGAAGAACTAGTATCTTTACCCTCACATTACCACCTTAACTAAGGCTCAATGTCTATGAATTGTAAGTCTGCTTCACATGAGATGACACATTTTTACACTTCTCACATAATTTTCTATTTCCTAACTATTGTACTTCTCCCGGACCATACCTCATTCGAAGCTTTCTCTTTGTTACTTTATTCACATAGATTTATTAATAAAGCTCCCACCGTCCACCATCGTCGCTCACCTAAACCGCACAATTATATGTTTATGTATTGACTCGATATTTATATTATTACCTTTAATTGTTTTATTAATTATCTATTAATTATACTTTATCACACACTCGACTATTAATTTTGTACAAAACTATTTTGTGCATCATCAAAAATATATTTTTTATCATTTTCTTTTCTTTTATTTCACTTTTTATCATTTTCTTTTCTTTTACTTCACTTTCTATTATTTTTCCTTGCCATCAGTTTTGTCTTCTTCCTAATCAAACCGATCCAAAGTGAAAAACTATTTTGAAAAAACGACGCCGTGTGAAAGATATTTCTTCACTTGGTTGCTGATTAGTTGATCAGCTCCGCTCTCTTTTCCGTTGCTTCACACAGCACAGCGATGGCGTCTCTCAACTCGCTCCATCGTGCTGGAAACTCCATTCTCTCTCCTACCCACTTCAAACTCCGAATACCACCGCACCCTTCTCACCACACCTTCAAACCCCCCTTACCCTCCTCTCCCACAACGTCATCCGTCAAACCTCTTTGCACCTACGCTGTACCAAACAACACCAACCCCAAAATCCATCGCCGCCAAAACAATTTTTCTCAACGCCAAAACACTAACACCCGTTACAAACCCCAAACACTACCAGCCCCTCCCATCACTATAAATGAAAACGACCCATCATATATAAGCTCGAATAACCCTCCACCAAATGCTGATTTGTTGGCTTTGTGCCATGAAGGTAAGATTAAAGAAGCAATTGATTATATGTCACAACGTGTTTGTCCCGATTGCCGGACTTTTGAAACTCTATTAGATTTTTGTTGGAGTTCAAAGTCGCTTGAGCTAGGGAAAAAAGTTCATGAATTGTTGACTAGGTCACCTTATGGTAATAATGTTGAGTTGAACAATAAGGTGATTGAGATGTATGTGAAATGTGGGAGTATGAGAGATGCACGTAAAATGTTTGATAAAATGCGGGAGAGAACTATGGATTTGTGGCATTTGATGATAGATGGGTATGCAAATAATGGGGAGGGTGATAAGGGGCTGCTTTTGTTTGAGCGAATGAGGAAATTGAGGTTGAGGCTCAATGGCGAGACTTTCGATGTGGTTTTATTGGCTTGTGCTAGTGAGCAGGCTGTGGAAGAAGCATTCATATACTTTGATTTGATGAAGAATGAGTACGGAATTGTTCCAGGGATCGAGCATTATCTGGGGGCTCTCAATGTTCTTGGAACCTCGGGGCATTTGAATGAAGCTATGGAATTTATTGACAATATGCCAATTGAGCCCACTGCTGAAATTTGGGAGGCTTTGATGAATTTCTCTCGAATACATGGAGATATTGAGCTTGAAGACCGTGCTGGGGAATTGTTAGTTGCACTTGATCCGTCTAAGGCAATGGCTAACATGGTTCCTGCACCATTGCCAAAGAAATGTTCTGGGACCAATATGCTTGAGGGGAAGAATAGGGTTAGTGACTATCGGAGTACAAATCCATACAAGGGAGATGCGTACAATAAATTGAAAGGCTTGAATGGCCAGATGAGGGAAGCAGGGTATGTGCCAGACACAAGATACGTGCTACATGACATTGATCAGGAAGCCAAAGAGCAGGCTCTGATGTATCACAGTGAGCGATTGGCTATTGCATATGGTTTGATTAGCACTCCGGCAAGGACAACACTTAGGATCATTAAGAATCTTAGGATATGTGGTGACTGTCACAATGCTATCAAAATCATGTCGAAGATTGTTGGTAGGGAGCTGATTGTTAGAGATAACAAGCGGTTTCATCATTTTAAGGATGGTAAATGCTCTTGTCGGGATTACTGGTAAAGTTGATTAATTTGGAGTTGCAGCTCCACATTATCAGTTGCTTGTAACATTTTTCCCAGACGCATCTAGTGTAAACTGTTATTTAATGCCTAATCCTTGTGCAAAAAACATTCTGATTGCTGTTCACAGGGGATAAACTTTGTAACTGTCATCTGTGTGAACACATTGTACATTTTTCTTGATGAAGCACGACTTCATTATATAAGAAATAATTCCAGGTGTAACAAGTTATCGTTTATATGTTCTCCTTGCTGTTATAGGCTGCATCGGACTTTTCCTTGTGCCCAAGATCTTTTTTTTTTCTTCTGGTAAGTTATTAGCACATGAACTTTTCTTTTGAAAAGTATTAGTACATGAAATTTTGGCTTGTTGGAATGGAAGTCCCAAAGAATTATTGATAGCACGTATGTATTAAATCCAAAATTTTTTTTTATTAAAACCTTACAAAGTGGAACTAAGATTTACTTTGTAGATCGCTTTTTATTGATTTCGTCTTAGCATGAACGTAGAATTTAAAGATAGAAGCACAAAACAACTCGATGAATCTCATTATCTTTTGTCGTTGTATATCCCCCAACACCACCAACGCCAAAATCTAGATGTGGTGTGGGCTGCAAAGATTTTTAAATTTTTGCTCTCTCGCCTCTTTCAAACGTGAATAATAAAAGTGATGTTGATTTAAAGAGTCTAGACGTCAATAAAAGTGATGTTGATTAAGAGAGTCTAAACGTCTATATATAGATTATGACAAAAATTCTAAAGAGAAATAGGAGTTGAACTTTCAATGGGCATGAGATTTCTATGTTCAACCCAGAACAAATATCCTGTAATTCATTAATAATAAGGTAGTCCATTAAAAACTTATTATTGATCTTTTGAACCTTATCTCAAAAAATATATTTTTAGCTCTTTATTATTATATGCTTAATAATCTCTTCACGTTTAAGATTATAGATGTCTATCAATTAAATAAATTACTGACAGTTATATGTAATTGACTTCTTTTATTCTTTAAGACCTTACCACTCAACTTATTTATCATATCGGATAATTAAATCTATCTGTAAGGTTTGACATAAACAAAACTTCTGAACTTCCTCAAAAGGACATCATCAATTTATTTAAATACCAGGATGTAATTTCCTTAAATAATTAATTTCACCATTTAAATAATATCGTTTCTCAATTCACCGAGTTTATTGACTCAATATGAATTTCATTTTTTTGATGAATTAAAGTGACAATTATTATATGCACATGACAATTAATATTTCGAGATTAAGAGCATAAACAATCATAATAATCATGAAATATTTAGTATCTTATTTAGTTAGTAAAAGATAATAACCTTAACATGTGTCTTTTCAATACACAAAGTGTACTAGTGTAATAATCCGAGACATCAAACAGTCTCATATAATCAAGACAAATTATGCCAGAATATTACACTACAATCGTATTAATGTGTGTCTAATTCCATCTAGGATTATGAACCTATACTCATAATATATAAGAATCCGATAATCTGGTCTTCTGTGCAGAAGTCAAACTTTACACACCAAATTATTTGCAATATAAAATATAAGAAACACATGCATACCATATATCAAATATAATACAAACATTTTGTTCACATAGATTTTGAATAAAAAAAAAAAAAAAAAACCAATTAATTAATAAAATGAATTCCACTACAAATAAGTTTTTAATATATAACTCTACTAATTTTGGCCACGTGGAACAATCATTTCCACATGATTTTATGGATACACTCACTCTAATGTGTAAGCTGCTACTAAATGAAAACACATGAATGGGTCAATACTAGAACATTTTCCACTTCTATGTTTCTATGTTATGTGTAAAAGCTGGATTCGAGGGCATGAAGAAAGCTAACAGAAAAATATCATACAATAAACCTTCAAGCATACTGAAATTAGATAATCAGAATGTATCAAACAAAATGGATGATAGAACACTATTCATTAAAGCTCAGAAAAAGGCAGGCCCTGTCATTTGCTTATTGTTATTATCATTCAATCATCACCGAAGAAGCCAAACATAAATAAATATTCCCACGGAATCATTTTCTGGTCTGGCATTTGATGATGTTCATTTTTGCCAAAGTTAGTGAGGAACTGGGAGCGTTGGAGAAAAACTTTCACAAGGAGGGTTCGGCATAGTCTTAGAACTGCAGTCGCATGAATTCAACTGACTGGTATTACAAGTCATCTTGTCTTCAGTAGTGTGTCAATAAGCTGAAGTAGGATCCTTTCAAGCTGTTCCCCATTGCTCCACTCGTGAACTTTTGCTTTGATACACAATGAGCTATTTGAAATTCGCTCCCACAAAGGAAAATTCTTTCTTGGCATCACATAGTCTCCTTCATCAAGCTTCAATGTTGGGCAGAAATCACCATTCCCATCTCCAAGGTAGATAAATATTTTCTTCCCATTTTCAGAAATATTAGTTTGGAAATGCTCAATCACAAGACCCTATATTGAAAACCATGATTAGAATGCCAGACTTGTAAAAACTGAACCACAAAGGAAAGAAGGAATGAGCCTCTAAAAGAGAGTACAACAAAAACACTCTGCGCTCTAAAATGTTGAACAGTAAATTCTTTTGGATGCTACTACTTGAGCCCTATAAATGCCACAAGAGCAACCAAATTACATCGAAATACTTTGTTTGATATTCGTCTTTCCTGAGAATGATTTTTTATTTTGTCATTATTACTAGAAACAAGGCTTCTAAAATCTAACAGAAATATCACCCACCAGCAAAACCAGAATGCACTGATGTAATCACTTACAGCTTGTTGCCGGTTGCATGCATGAACCAGATTTAAGCATAATTCAACCTGACTGATACGATAGAAGTGAAACTGAACCTCCAGCATAAAGTTCACTGCAGTGCGGTGCATTCAATTGAGGAAGAGGGGGTTCCAAAATGTCTTCAGTCTTTTGGCCAAGCATGCAATCCTTGTCATTGAAATGGTAAGGGAAAGGGAAAAGGAGAAATATGAAGGACAAGTTCAAATATATGGGAGTCTCCATAATTTTTTTTTTCGTTTCTTTGGTAGGTGAGAACGATCTTCATAGGAAGCAACGTCTTCATCAAAAAATATAAAAGCAATCGACATCAAGTCATACACCAATGACCCTACTCCTCAAACGTAGTACTGACACACACTTCAACACAGAACCAGAAATCAACAATTTATCTAAGGTCAGTTACAATCATTCACAACCAATCAATCAAGCCATTGAAATGAATACCAAAGAATTTCATGTTCTCCTAGAAAGAGTTTCTACACGGTATTGATCACCATTTGTCAGTCAGTGCAATCACATTAGTTCATCACAACAAATCGATCAATTGACAAAGAAATTAGGCAACTAACAAGTGTAGATCCTCCATATTTTATGAACAGTGAACGGAACATGACAGGTAACTAGTAGCAAAATAAATTAAATTGGATCGAAAGATGATACCTTGCACAGGTTGGGAGGGCATAGATTGCAACCATGAGATGACGTCAAATCATGGTATGGGAAGATCCTAAGCCTGCCTTCTCCATCTACAAAAGTTGGGTTTGTTACAATCTCTGAGAAACAGCCCAACACTCCATGATGTTTCAAGATTGTCTCGATGAAAAACTGATTCGCATCACTAAGTACTTTCAAGTCACATCTGAAATAGCCACATCATTGTTTCCACCATAACCTTTGCATTAGGAAAAAATAAAAACACTAATACAAGAAAAGCATTGGTAATAACAAATTATGACCATGAAGATTATGACAATCGGAAATACCCAAGAGCATGAGCTGATTTAATGGCTGCTATGACCCGCGGATGCAAGGGAATCCGCTTTAAACATTCAGCAATATCTTCAACTGTTTTTCCCTGTGAGTGTAGCTCCTCCATCATCCTGTCCTATAAATGATATGGGTCATGATTGATGCAAAAAGTACCCAGATAATCCGCAGTTGAGGCATGAATAATACAACCCTTATACTACGAAAAACAAAATTAATACTGTGTTTGAAATTGTAACTGGAAAAAATTTAAGTGAAATGATTTTCGCTCCACTTCCAATTCCAAGGCTCCCAACTTATGATGGAATGAAGCTTAGAAACAAGCTTAGAATGTGTTTCAATAAATCACTTTCCTTGTGATCAATGTAAAACAACACATTTAGATTCTCTCAAAATATGCCCAAAAGGGGTATGAGCTAGCTTATTTTTCGTTTAGAATCAGAATTACACAAAAATAAAGCTAAAATCCCTGCTTCACAAAGACAGTATCCCCATTAATTCACATGATTGAAACACAACCAAGTGAGAATCAAACTAGTAAAAGATGAAGTTCTTGGATCATGGAGAAAAAAAAATTACTAACCAGGAGAGTGTTCCATGGCAATGTGCGCCGGAGCTGAGTGAACAAATGGGTCAGACCCATTTCGACCACCACCCACCTGTCGCTATCATCGTCAATCAGGGTTCGATCGAAATCAAACACGATCAAGATTTTCCCGGCCATCATCAGCTGTTTCCCGGCGGCGCCACCACTGATAGAATTGCTTGTGTAATGTAATGTATTGATTTGTTCTTCCAGAATATAAGTAAAAGGTTAAAAGGCACCAATAGTCCTAAGCTTTGACACTTACTGTATTTTTATCCCTAAACTTCTAATTTTGTCTATTTCATCCTTAATATTTACACATTAACTCACTTTGATTCTGACCCCTAACTCCCATTTAAAAAACTAATGAAAAATATCATGTGTCAGGCACACGAAAGTATTAAGGAACATTTTTGATATTTTACAACTATTTATACATCCGAACACAATTATTCTTGGACCAAACATCCACCTTCTTCTTCTTTTCTCTTCTCTCTCCTCACACACGCATAAATCCTTCCGAGTTCTCTCTTCCTCACACACAGACATCTCTCTCTCTCCACCCCCAAAACTCAACACATCCCTTTCTCTCGTCTCTCGTTACTACATCTCCGTCCCAAACCCAACACATCTCCCTCTCTGCTCTCTCTTCTCTCGTTACTGGGTCTCCACCCTCAAACCCAACACAAAAACCACAAATACACATCTACAACACAAACCCACAAATACATATTCATAACACAACCCACAAATACATATTCATAACACAAACCCACAGTAACATACACCCACATGGATTCAGAACTGGATTTTTCAAGACCCCCATGGGCAATCAAGCCCCGATTCTTTCGAAATCAAGTTTGAATTCAAAACCAAAATCGAAATCAAAAATGAAATAAAATCAGAGATTTTTAGGGGTGGAGTGATTGACAGTGGGTTAGGGGTAAATTAGAGAAAACTCTTACCGGGGGGGGAAGCCTACTTAGGAGGGTTGATGGAGGTGGTGTCAGACTTTGCAATGGTTGCGATCGATTCCAATAGTGGTGGGTGGTGGAGCTCGATTCCAGCGATGGTGGGTGGTGGAGCTTGATTCCAGCGGTGGTGGATGATGGCGCTCGATTCCAGCAGTAGTAGGTGGTGGCGCTTGATTCTAGCGGTGGTGGGTGGTGGCGCTTGATTCCGGCGGTGGTAAATGGTGGAGCTTGATTCCGGTTGTGGAGTCTTGCACAGAGAGAGAGATGGGGTGGTCGCTGGCTGAAAAAGGAGAGAGAGAGATATGGATTGGAGGCATAGTTTTAAAACCCGGTCCGGACACCAACCCAGATAAGGGACCGGGTCAATAAATTTCTAGTACAATCACTAGGTTACTGGTCGAACCGGTGATATAATAAAAAAATAAAAAATAATTATTAATAATGATAAATAGACTAAAAAATTAAAATAATTATAAAAATAACATGTTTAATATATATTAAATCAAACAAAGTTATCAAGCCTGAATCACTTAATTGTATTCACTTAATTTTTTAATTAACAAACACTGAACGAATGATTTAGGATTTAGGACAAAACAGAAGGGGAAAAGAAAAAGACACAAAAATGTTAAAAAAAAACATATTTATACTAAAGGAACAAAATTGGCAGGTTTTGTAAACCCGGTCCGATTTTTACGGGTTACCGGTTCACCGATTTTATTCCGGGTTCTTTGCTCAAACGGTCCAATTATAAAATCGGTTCGATTAGGGTACCGATTTATCGGGTCGACCCGTCGGGCCGGACCAGATTTTAAAACACTATTAGAGGAGAGAGGGCAACAGCTAAAATTTCCAATGTTTTGAGAGTATAATAACTAAAATGTCCCTTAATATGCTCGTGTGCTTGGCACATGACATTTTTTGTTAGATTTTTTGGACGAAAGTTAGGGATAAGTACTAAAAAGGGTTAATGTGTAAACATTGAGAATGAAATTGAAGAAATTAAAAGATTAAGAATAAAAGTGCAATACGCGCCAAACCTTAAGAACTATTGGTGCCTTTTACCCTTAGTAAAACTTTAGGTCTGCTTGGTTGCCATAATAATATGGGTGAATTATTACTTTCTAATTTAACATGTAAAAAATATTTCGTATTATAACCAGCGACGATCCCCGTGCATAGTACGGAATTTATACATGTTCTTTTTTTTTTTTCTATTAGAAAAGTTAGAGAATTATAAAAAAATTAGACTGATAAAACAATTATGAAAAGTTAGGGCGATAAAACTACAATTTTTAAAAAATATTAAATTATTAGTTGATTTTTGTAAAAACTTTAAATGATGGATAGTTATATAAAACGTGTCAGAATATAATTGGTTAAAATCATGTGTAACAATTAAAAATTTAAAAATTTTAAGAAAAAAAAATAGAAGGACAGATTTCTCAAACAACCTCCCACCTAATTTGATTGTTTTATATATATAGTATAGATTAATTTTTTATATAATACACTATGATATTATTAAGCAAATTTTAATATCATTTGGAGAGGTACTTAGGCTGATAATCGAATTAAGTTTTGCGAACTTGAACCAAAACTGTTGAATTTGCTTTTTTAAATTAGCTCAAAAAATTATTCTAATTTGGTACGTTTAAAGTTGAGCTTAAAAAATAAAAACCGAGTTGAACTATGGAACTTCGGAGGGGGAGGGGATGTTAAGGAATGAAGAATAGATAGGTTCACTTACAGATTCCAAAATCCATTGCGTCCTCCATGAGGAACAACCGTCTTGGTAATGTAATAAATTTTTGGTTGGATTTCGGTGCAGCATTACATCTTGATAAAAGATAAAAGATCCCAACGTGTTTATCTAGGAAATAGTCCCTTCAAAGTGAATTCTCCCTAAGTACATCAATTAAATTTTTGATCTATTACAAATATATGATATGAATTATGCTAAAGATTCAAAACCTATTTTCAGATTTTTTATAAAAAAAATAAAAACTAAAATATCAAATGAATTAAAATTAAGATTTATTTTTCGGAAAATCAATTGCGAAATGCTTTTCTAAAATCCCCAATATCTGTTTTGCAATCTTCAATATGAAAATGTTCAATTTTCGTACAATCTTCTTAAGTATTATTCAAAAGGTGCAGTGAGACATGTTTTGGCATTTTCTTTTCCCAAAAAAAAAAAAAAGAAAGTTGTTACCTAGTTTTTGTCCTATTGATAATACTAGGAGGGACGTATCGAGTAGACCTTCGACATTATTGCTGCACCTGCTCCTTGTATGGTCCCATTTTCAGTGCTTAAAAAAAGAGTGATCTAGCACTTCTACAACACAATCCAATAAAAATTCTCTCTGGGATTAACATAGATCCATCGGAAGCAAACATATCTAAAACTCACAAAGGATCTCCAAGTAATTGAAGTTGACAATCTCCTGAATCCCTAGGAAACATGAATAATTCTTTGACAAACATTACCTCTTCATCTAAGACAAGGTATGGAGAATATATCTCGACTACTTTCAAGGCTTTTGCATTGGCTAGTAAGTACTTAACAAGCTTTAGCTCGTTTGTCTTCGCCTCAAATCTTGTAATTTTAATTTCTTCGACACGTAACAACAAACAATTTGGTACAGATTCTGACTTATCCAATCAAAGTTGTCTTGGCACCTATGTGTGTACGACTAGCAACAATGGCAACAAAACAATGAGTTAAACCATGAAAAAATTAGCAAGGTGATCATTAAATATGAATCGTTGATTACCTTCTCTAAAATAAGAAATTGTAGGTTAGGTGAGCTCTCAAGCAAACCTGATAGGACTCTCCAACCACAGCAATCATGAATGACCACCTCCAAGCATGATAAATTATGAAACATGGGCAAATTACTATCATAAGCAAAGTCAAGAGCCTTCAAAGAAATGAAATGAATATTAATATCAATCAAACACTAGTCTCTAATCAGCCCAATTGTACAATCAATAAAATTAATGAACTAAAGGAAAAGGGACTTGCTTAGTAATCAGAAACATTCATAAAAGAAGATATTCTTATGTTGCATATGGAAGATAGAGCAATCTTACACTCATGGTACTGTCGTGCAAGGAGAGAGACTTCACATCTGCAACTGCAGTGACAAGCTCGTATGCACGAGTCGCATATTCTTGACTAGCTATATCCTTTATACAGCAACATCCCACATTAACATTTGCCTCAATTAGGGATGACAAGTCCTTGTCGAAGAACAGGTCAATGAGACCAATTCAACCGGAGAAGACTCCTATGTTTAAGGAGTTTAAAACACCTTAACAAATTCCACTTGTTTAGGAGTATAGCTAACAACTTTTCAATTTTGAATACATACGTTGTATAGGCAACTAAGTAGGATAACAGTTACAGTTCTATTCAAAGTCTATTTGAAGTCCTTGTATATGTACAACAAAGAGATAATAGATATTCGAGCCTTCAGATTTTCATCAACTTGAATACATTTTCTACATGGTATCAGAGCACCACTAAAAGACCAACATCTACTCCCTTTCGATCCTTAATGGCCTCCTCAACCTCAAATAATTCTACTGATCCTACTACTATCCCAACCCTCTCCAATCTTCCCTTTACTATCAGCGTCAAGCTCAACTCCTCCAACTATCCTGTATGGAAAGCTCAGGCCCTACCCTACTTCAGAGGTCAAGCTGTTTTTGGCTACCTTGATGGCACAATCCCAACCCCACCTCAAGAAATTGATGCTCCTCATCCCAGCACAGGTGCTATTATTAAAATCCCCAATCCTCATTATATTCAATGGCTTCGTCAGGATTCTCTAATCCTCGCCACCATTAATGCTTCGCTTACTGAAGATGTTCTCACTAGAGGTCTGGCTTGCACTAGAGCGAACCCTTTCTTCAATTTCCCGTGCTAAAGCAATTCAAATTCGCACTCAGCTGACAAATGCTCGAAAAGGCGCTCTGTCCACTAATGCATATTTTCTCTCCATCAAGCGAATGGCGATGAACTTGCTCTTGCTGGACAACCACTAAAACCTGATGACATAATCACCTATGTGCTTGCGGGACTTGGCCAGGAATATGATTATTTGGCTTCAACAATAACTTCTCGATCTAATCCTGTCACCTTAGAGGAACTTTACTCACTCCTTCTCATCTATGAGTCACGAATTAATCACAATAATCAGTCCCTTCAAACTGCTGCTTCAGTCAACATGGCCACCAAGTAACCTCAACAGCAATATCAATCCACTTTTTGCACGGCAGCAAATTTTCCCCATTCCAACTGTGCTCGCGGTGGCTACCGTGGCAGAGGACGTAGTGGGCGTTTCAACTCCCATGATCAGGGTCCATCAAACTCAGTTATATGTCAGGTATGCTTCAAACCAGGCCATACTGCCAAAAAATGCTATCACCGTTTTAATCTCTCTTATCAGGACCAACCAACCCCTAAGAATCAGCCACAAGCTATGGTTACTGCGCACTATCAACAAACTGATAATGAGTGGCATCCTGACACAGGAGCTACCCATCATCTCACCAATGATGTGAACAGTATTCATCTTTATAATGAAGACTATGGCAGTCAAGATCATATCTAGGTGGCTAACGGTGCAAGTCTGAAAATAGTACAAAGTGGAACTTCCACTCTCTCTTCTCCTTCCAAGTCTTTTGTACTTGATCAAATTTTGCTTGTTCCCGATATTCAAAAAATTCTTCTCTCTGTTCAGCGTTTTTGTCTAGACAATAATGTTTTCTTTGAATTTCATGTTTCTTTCTTTCTTGTGAAGGATTACTTGGGAAACATCCTGCATCGAGGACCACTCAATAATGGTCTTTACAACTTCTCGACTTCTCTTGCTCGTCTTCAGCCACAAGCTTTATCTAGTGTTCGTGTGTCTGCCAATATATGGCACCGCCGTCTCGGTTATGCTTCTCTACCAGTTATCAATAAGGCTATTTTATTTCCTGTCCAAAATAAAAATACTTCTATTTGTTCTGATTGTCAGCTGGCTAAGAGCCATGCTATGCCCTTTAAAACAGTGCATGTTTCTGTTTTGCAACCATTGGAGTTAATTTATTCAGATGTTTGGGGGCCAGCCCCTGTTTTATCAACCTCTGGTGCACGTTATTACATAAGTTTTCTGGATGATGCTACTAAATTCTTATGGATTTTTTCCTTGAAACTCAAATCTGATGCATATCAAGTCTTTATATGTCTTCAAGCTGCTGTAGAACGCCAATTTGATACCAAAATAAAGGCTCTCCAATCCGATTGGGGAGGTGAATATCGCAGCCTAACTAAACATTTACAAAATCAGGGAATTAGTCATCGACTAACCTGTCCATCTACCCATCAGCAAGCTGGTGCCATTGAAAGGCGCCACAGGCAAATTGTTGAAGTTGGTTTGGCATTACTTGCTCACTCTAATTTACCAAAAATATTTTGGGAAGATGCCTTCTTAACTGCAGTTTTTATTATCAATAGATTGCCAACTCCAATTTTACAACATCGATCACCATATGAAATGGTCCATCATCACAAACCAGATTATACTTTTTTGCGTGCCTTTGGTTGCGCTTGCTGGCCCTATTTACGTCCATTTAATCGACATAAGATGGACTTTCGATCTAAAACCTGCATATTTATTGGGTATATTGTTGGTTATCGAGGTTACAAGTGTTTAGATGTATCTACCGGCAAAATCTTCGTATCACGTCATGTTGTCTTTGATGAATCTCTTTATCCCTATATAGTCCCTGAGTCTATCGAGTCTACTCCAAAATCTGCTCCTGCTGTACTCCCACCAAATCTCAACCTATCACACTCTAGCTCCTCTGTTTTTACAGGAACAAGTGTTCAGCTTGCTGCACCAAGCCCTCTGCATATGGCCTCGACCTCTAGTCCTCAAACTGATCTTCATATTGCTTCAACATCTCCTGCTAGGGATACTACTCTACCTCAGCATGAAGACAATCCAGCACCTCCTCCCTTACCTTCTCCACCTCGCCAGCAACATCAGAATTTACACTCCATGGTTACACGAAGCAAAAACAACATCCACAAGCCAAAATTAGCTTCTGACTCCCATATTCGATATCCCATTCCAAAAGCACTTATGGCCACAATCCAACCACAAGAAAAAGAACCCACCTGCTATTCCACTGCAGTTAAACATCATAATTGGCGGGAGGCTATGAATAAAGAGTTGCCTTGTTAGCCAATGGAACTTGGACTTTGGTTCCTAAACCTCCTAATGCCAATCTTGTTGGATGCAAATGGGTGTACAGAATTAAAAGAAGAGCTGATGGTGGTATTGACCGTTTTAAAGCACGCCTAGTCGCTAAAGGATTCCATCAACAGGAGGGTGTTGATTTTGGCGAGACATTTAGTCCTGTGGTGAAACCTACCACTGTAAGGTTGGTTCTATCACTAGCAGTCTCTCGTGGTTGGCATCTTCGACAAATTGATGTATAAAATGCATTCTTACATGGCCTCTTGCAAGAAGATGTCTATATGACTCAGCCTCTAGGGTTCATTCATCCTCAATTTTCGCAACATGTTTGTAAGCTGCAAAAGTCATTGTACGGTCTTCGTCAAGCACCACGAGCATGGTTTTCTTGCTTGACTGATCAGCTACATGCCATTGGTTTTATAAGAAGTCAAGCTGATCATTCCCTCTATATTTTTCAACATGGCTCCACTCTTATTTATTTTTTAATTTATGTCGATGACATAATTATAACTGGTACAGATATACATGCCATTAACCGAGTGATAATCTTGCTGCAGGACAACTTTGCAGTAAAAGATATGGGTGAACTTAGTTTCTTTCTGGGTATTGAGGCCATCTGTAGCGATCATGGTTTGTATTTATCTCAACGTCACTACATTCTTGATCTCCTTATACGCAGTAAAATGGACAAAGCAAAGCCTTGTGTTACTCCAATGTCGACCTCCGAGCCCTTAACAAAATTTGATGGCATACCTTTTCATGACCCTCATTTGTATCGAAGTATGGTTGGAGGGTTGCAATATCTTTCTTTTACTCGGCCTGAACTTGCTTTTGCAGTCCATAAAGTCAGCAAGTATATGCAAAATCCAATGGAGCCACATTGGGCAGCCGTCAAACGTATCTTGCGTTATTTGAAGAACACCATTTCTCATGCTTTACTGATACAACCCACTACTGATCTTAAGTTTCAAACATTCAACGATGTAGATTGGGCATTCGATCGTGACGACAGAAGATCAGTTGGTGCTTATTGTATTTATTTGGGCAACAATTTAATTTCATGGGGTTGCAAACAACAGCAAACGGTTGCTCGTAGTAGCACCGAAACCGAATATAAGGCTCTTGCAAATGCTGCTGTAGAAATTCAATGGATAAAGTCTTTGCTAACTGATCTTCGTGTTCCAATTGTCCATTCTCCGATTCTCTGGTGTGACAACATAGGAACTACTTATTTGACCAGTAATCCTCTATTTCATACTCGCACGAAACATATTGAAATTGACTTTCACTATGTTCGTGATTAAGTTCTTCGTGGTCAACTTCATGTTCAATTTGTTTCTACCAAGGATCAGTATGCAGATGCACTTACGAAGCCGCTGCCCTCTACTCGATTTCTTCTTTTGCGTGACAATCTCAGGGTTCGTTCCTTACCCTTTCGATTGAGGAGGCGTGTTGAAGAACAGGTCAATGAGACCAATTCAACTGGAGAAGACTCCTCTGTTTAAGGAGTTTAAAACACCTCAACAAACTCCACTTGTTTAGGAGTATAGCTAACAACTTTTCAATTTTAAATATATACGTTGTATAGACAACTAAGTAGGGTAACAGTTACAGTCCTATTCAAAGTTTATTTAAAGTCCTTGTATATGTACAACAAAGAGATAATATAAATTCAAGCTTTCAGATTTCCATCAACTTGAATACATTTTTTACGGTCCTCCACCAAATACCTTGCCAAGAATGACTCGTTGACATCGAAGTATTCAAGATTCGGAACATTAAGCTCAAATTTGAATTCCTTATGAAAGTATGCATATAGTTGCACTTTTAATCTCTTCAAAGCGGGGGCGGAGATATCAAAAATCAATCCTTGCTCTTCCCCTAGTTCTCCAATTATGACTAGATCCTCAAGTACCGGGCAGCTACGAAAGAGGCATTGCAGTAACTGCTTTGGAGGAAAATAAAAGTCAATGTGGAGGATTTTCAGACATGGGAAACAAAAGGGGGGAGGAATATCAATCGGGCAACGAATACCACATCCCAGTTTTAAAATCACAAGTGAATTGCAAGTGAAAAGACCCCGAGGCAACTCAAGATCAGACACATGGAGATCAATCTCAACAGGACCACGCTTAATTCCTTCGCTCACCCATAGAGCAAGAGTGTGGAGATCAACCTCTATGGGACAACATAGGCGAAACCTCTGGATTTGGGCCGATTTTCAAAATTTTAGCACTCTATCCACAAACAGGACAAAGCTAGAAACATCAATCTCGTCCTCAGTGACTAGAAGTTTACCGACATCAAGGTCAAGATTAGTGATTGAAGTCCAAAGGTACTTCCATCTTTTCGTGAGGACACTGGTTCTAACAGCATATTTTGTGGGAAGAAAAGAAAGGATATGAGAAATAACTCCATCAGGTTACCTACTAATCCAGTCTCCTCCACAATCAGGAAGGGTAATCGAACCCATTTATCCTATGAAATTCTTTACCTAAAAAATCAACAAAATCTCCACAATACAACTTCAATTTAAACCTGGTTCGGTGTATCCTGTGATACTCTTTTCCTCAAAAATCAACAAAACAATCAAAATCTCCACAATTACAACCTTTTCTTCTCCCCTTCAACCTGGTTCAGTGTAATCGAAGCCAATGAAAGCAAATACCCGAATGGGTCTCGATTTACAGAAAAATAATAAAGGAGCCAAGATCGTATGAGGAATCGTTAGCTCTTTCAAATTCGTAATCATATCCACGTTGTTGCAATTAATTGAAACCTAATAAACGAAAAAAAGAAATTATCAGAAAGTGAAGCAAAAAAATAAGAACAAGAAGATGAGTTAGCAGCAAGGTAGATGGCTAAGGGCAACAAGTAGCTTGAGTTCAAGCGAAGCGTTTACCAGTGTGACCTCTGGGAGAGAGAGAGTTGAAATCTGGTTTTCGTTCGAGGGTCTTTGTCAGTGCAAGTTTGTTGTAAGGGCCAGACTACGGTAAAGAAATGGAATATTCGGTATCATACCGAAAAGTTGTGATTTTGTCGATTGAGGATAAAATTATAATATCAGTGAAAATTTTAGACTATAATCGATAAAATTTTATAATATTAATGAAAAATTTACAATACAACTATTATAATAGTGAATAAAATTATAATATCAATAAAAAATTTACAATAATAATAGTGAACAATATTAGTTGTAAATTTGTCTACTATTATTGTAAATTTTTTCACTAATATTGTAATTTTTTTATTGATTGATTAATCAATATTAGTGATCGATCGCAAATCCACAAAATATAATTTTGATACTTCAAATGGTGGTTAAAGTTTGTCCACTGTTATAGTAATTTTGTCCATTGTTATAGTAAAATTTTCATTAATGTTGTAATTTTTATTGTTTAATTATTGTAGTAAATTTTTCACTAATGTTGTAATTTTGTCTACTATAGTCGTAAACTTCTCACTAATATTATAATTTTATCCTCAATTAATAGAGAGACAATTTTTCGGTACCGTAATGTGATCATTGTTGTAATATAGTCTGCCGTATAATCAAATCACAATACTCATCATATAACTAGCTAAGGTGATCGTAAATTCGATGATCAAACTCCCACAATGATAACAATTCCTTATTTCTGATTTGATTTCATGTACCTTGTAAATAAAAGAATGTGGTGTCCCACCCAATCTCTGATGCACACAAAAGTTACAAAAAATTGATACATGCATCGAGAGGGAGATGACTAACACATATATAATGGACATTATTAACAGTGTTATGCACATTACTAACTGCTCCGTGCCATGCATAATATTTTTAACCAATGGACAAAAAAAAATTTGGGTAGGTAAAAATGGTAAATACTCTCACTAACCTAGATACCTATCTTAAACCAGATACAAGTGTGCCCAGCACATGCAAGTAATGAATGTATTTAAAATATAGTACTTGATCATGTCTGCCCATCGCTTATCTTGTGTGAGGGTCAGCGTTGTACAAACACTTGGACCAACCTACAATTATCTTGACTGCAGCAATACTACTGATCACTCACTACAACTCATGTATCCCAACAAAAATTAGGTGGATGTGATATTTTCTTGGATGTAGCCTAGACTTGCCCATCAAGGAGTGGTGCGACAGTCATGGTAAGGGAGAATTCTGAGGCCAAGGTTCGTGGCTAGTCATCGTAGGACAATGACCCTTTCATGAGACATTTGTCGAAATGCCCAATAGGGATACTCATATAGTTTTGGTCTTTTAACCATTAATTCACATATCTTGTTATCTCATATGTTGATTTGGACCATTAACTCCTAATATCTTGGGAGTTCTTCTAGATCTTAGTCAAACACAACCCATAATAGATTAAACTTTCAAGGCCTTACCAAGCAGATTGTACCTCAACCGAGCAAACTGGATAAACCTGGCCATAATAGAAATTGAAAGTGATTTGTTTAGCGAATTAGTATTCTTGAGCAGGAAGTGTATGCCAAGCAGAATCTAATAAAGTATGATCAGAAAGGAACATTACAAGACTTAAATTTGGAAGAGAGTATACTCTATCTAATACTGATGAAAACTTGTGCGAAAACAGTAGATAGTTGGGCTATTCCTAAAAACTTGAGGCGGTTAAGGGGATAAGCTCTTAACATTGATTAAAGTGCACATTGTAAACAAGTGACCTCTAAACCCAATCAATAAGATTGAAAGTCGAATTTGAATACAAAGTTGAGAACGAGTCTGACTAGTTTTAGGGTGTATCATCTTACTCCTATCAGAATTTTAAGCCTTACTTGGTCGGAAAGATCTATAATATAAAATAAAACAAATTTTAATAAACTCATCCGACAGTCTCAAATATACTCATTCTATAACCGCTAACATCTTTTTCAAAATCATTCACATTGCATAGTGTCTTCAGGCACGAGTTACTCCTAGTACTCTTATAAATAACAAATGAGCTTAAGGTACAAATTGTTTTCCTTGCAATTTTGTTTGCTGATTTATTGGCTTAAACATCGGAATACTTCAAGTAGTTCAAACTCTAGTTTTTGACAGTTTATTCGTTTTGTAAGAAGAGGTGCAGTTTGTTCGCTTCTCACAAAACTAAACCCTCAATTTTTGCATCATCATCAATAAAAAAATGCGTGATTTATTTCTCATACAATTTCAAATCTCAAATTTGTATTTCTAACCCCATCTCTCTTGGTTCTTGTCTTCTCCAAGAAACCCTTCTTGATCTTTGCAATTCTCTCTGAGCGTGTTTGGTTCCACTAATTGGAATAAGATGACTTAGGTAGAATAATCAAATCCCATTTGATTGGGTATTTAGGATAAATTTATATATGAACTAGCGGACGCCCCACACGATGCATGCTCATTCTGGTTTTTCTCTTTTTTTCATCATATAACACGGGTAATTGAACAATTATTAAAGTTTATAGGGGATTGAAATTGAATTTATTTAAAAAAAAATTGAGGGATGATTAATTGAGAAGATAGTGAAAATGTGGATATATTAGCCAAGTGCCGATTGTTAGCTCTAATCTATCTTATATACAGTATAGTAATATAGTTGGCTTGGATGAGCTCCAAAACCTTACCTCAATATTCTTGAAATTTTGATTTTTTAGATTGTCAAATTTGATTTTGTCTTTATGTCATTGACCCTTTTTAAATAACTTAATTCCTAATTAATAAGATAATTTTTTAAAAATTTTAATTGTCCCGAGTTTCTCTTTCATCAACCCTCTGTTACTCATATCCCTCTCTCTCACACATACGCTCTCCCATCTAAATCTATGTTTACTACCTAATATATCTTTAATTTAAGATAGACGGTGCTTATAAAATTTTCAAGTACTAAATTTTTTAATTTTAAATTATTTAATAATAGTGCATTAATCTTATCAAATTAAATCATTTTCATTTGTCTTATGTAATTACTCTCCCAAAACTAATTTATTTCATTCCTTAATTTAGTAAAATAATGGATAATTTTTTGTAAGTACTAAGGTCGGGATGGTGGTCGGGGTGGAGCTAGCGGCGGGATGATAAAATTACGATGGAAGAGATTGAAAATACGGCGCTGCTATTTTTTACCCAGATGCTTGTTTAAGCATAATTGGATTGGACTATCAAAGATTTAGAATATATAATTGGACAAATTTCATTTTACCCACTTGTGGTTTAACACATTTGCGCGTCACTCCCCTAGAATTCAAAAATAGCACATAACCCCCTATGATTGTCAGACTAAAATGCACAGTTATATTTTTTATTTAATTTAATGGACTGGGTGAGTGACATGCCACAAAAAATTAAAAAGACCAAAATACCCTCGCATCCCTATACTCTTTTTTCTTGTCCTCATTCTCCTTGCTCTCACGCCCATCTCTCTCTCCACCCATCTCCTATTTTATACAGCCACTACTACCACCTAGAGGTGTTCCCCTTATTTTATTTTACAGGTAAGAAATATGATTTTTTTGTCTTTTTATGTGATATTTTACAAAAAAAAAATTTCTTGGCCTACCCTACCCAATTAGGTGTGATATTCTTATCCGATTTTTTACCTGATTAATCGGGAAAGAAGTCAGGTAAACACTTTTTGTATCTATTAATTTTTGGATTATTTTAATAATTTAATTAAATAATATACACCAATTTAACAACATAATAAATCAATAACATTAAAATCTAAAACAATTACAACAAAATATAAGAAAATATGAACGTCATTCCATAATATTTGTAACACAAATATAATAACAATTATTTTAAGTTTAAACTAGATGAAATACATTAAAATTATAACTACTCCAATGTATTAACAGTTCATCACAAATCATGTAATTTATACAAAAACAACTTTATGTTTTCGTAACTCAAATATCCACAACAATAACAATATTATAATATAAATTATAACACACAAATACTCTTATAATTACTAAAAAAAAATTAAATATATTTTTTATGGGTAAGATAGGATAACAAGGTGAAAATTTATGAGTGTTTTGTATTCTTATTCGATTTAATCGTAAGACCAAAAATTATTTTATATTTTTATCTGATTTTTACGGCTAACGGTTTAGTAAGGTAGCATCGAATAAGGGTAGAAAGAGTAATGTTACACTGACTAAATTTTAGGACCAAATTTAGAGCCTAAATGACATGACAATTGATTATTTGAAGTTTTTATTGTGACCCAAATGACATGATACCAATCAAAAAAATTCAAATCAACTGTCATATTATTTAGACTCCAAATTTGGGTAAAAAATGTAGTCAATCAAACATTTGAACACCCTTACTGCCAACCGCCACATTTTCTCCTCCTTCTTTGTCTCTCTCTCTCTCTCTCTCTCTCTCTGCGCCAAGACTACCCACGATCACCCTTATCCTCTTTCCGTCGACTGTCATGATCACCAAGCACCACACACCTCCTTCCTTTTTAACTATTCAACTCGCTGCCATGATCACCCACCACCACACACCTCCTTCCCTTTCAACTGCAACCCGCTGCCATGATCACCCACCACTACACACCTCTTCTTTTTTTCAATTCTTAGGTTGATGAATATGTGATGGATGGATGAATTATTGGGTTGGGGGTGGAGGTGATACTGAATCTGTGATGGAAATCGTCACCCACTCAATTAGTTGACCAACGACGCCGAAAAGCATCTGGTGAAGTATCCGGCGATCAATCGCCAGCCACTTTAATGGATTTCAATTCTCAAATTGATAAAGTGATTCTGATGATTTGCGATGTATTTGGTATCCCATACACAATTTTTTCCCCTCATGTTCGTTTGATTAATTTAAAAGGGTTGAAGTATTGCAACGGTCCTTGTACGTTCTTTTTCACTTGTTTGACATTTTGTTAAGGCCATTTCTAGAAGGACCAATGTTATTGGGACATAATATGCTGATTTAATTCATTATGATTGTTGGATTAACTGCGAGTTTCATCAAACATTGAAATTGGGTCTGAATTCAATGGTTTAAATGAAACCACGTCATTAGGTCAACAAATTATATCATATTTTTAGGTGTAAATAGCATTTTCCTTTCTAGAATTTGCTAACTAATCATTTACCCACCCATTATATTTTGGCCTCATCCAAACTTAATTTAATTTTGTTCAGTATCACTTTTGTGAAAAATTAATTTTGATGTTCTATTTATTATTTGGTCGATTTGTGAATGGAGGTGGGGGATGTGTTAGCCTGGAGAAGAGGAATGGACAGAGTTGTTGGAGAAGAAGAGTGGGAAGGGACATTAAAGTCATTTTAACCTCACTATTAACGGAGTTGCCCAATGCATTTTAGTCTAACAATCACTAGAGGGTTATGTACTATATAATTTGCTTTGATGACTGTTTGCTCTAATGCAGGGGCATATCCGTAATTACAGATCTTAACCCAACCTGTACAAATTTGGACAATTATAAACTCTGTTTAAAGTGAGCCGGCCAAATCCACTATTCACCTTGGACCGAAAGGATTATGTTCCAGTCCAATCGGTTAAAATGTGAGCAAACGATTTTTTTTTTTTTTTTTTTATAATTGGGGGCCACTCAGCTCCCACAAATCAAATACGTCTCTAGGTATTTCCCAACTCTTGCCGAATCTCTCTTAAGTTGGTCAAATTTTCACACAAAATCTTACACAGAAAGCTCATGCACAGGAAAAATCCTGAATAATTAGATGTTGATGGCATTCAAATTAACATCATCCTACCACCAATAATATTCCTGCCAACAAAAAAGGCGAAAAAACCCACCAATAACATGTCTCACATGCTCTGTCTCTTCACATGATGACAGAGTGTCACACCAAATACTTGTGGTTGCCCTCATGGCTGGCAGCCCCCCACCCCACCCCACCCCCAAAAAAAATTAGCTTCAACAAGTAAATTGATAGTTCAGAACATATATACGTATACATACATATATGGATAGAGAGAGGAAGAGAGAGAGAGATGGCATGATCACCTCTCAATTATTGGTAGCTCGTCATCATCATAAACAAATGTCCCTTCTAAGATATACAAATACAGCTTCAAGACATCTTCTTTATGACTGACTACAGATGAATGAATCCAAATCTCCCTCCCTATGTCCATGAAAGAATTTTCACCCTCTATATCTACAACCGTATCTACCCTTCTTCACAAATCAAAAAAATAAAAACAAAAAATAATTTCTATGCAGACTTGTCATAAGTTTGAATCCAACATTATCTATCTGCACTCAGGACACGGGGCGGACACGGGTCTTGATTGGTTTTAGCTTCAAGCCCATGCTTTCCGGAGAGAGAAGCTCCGGTGCAATGCAAGATGGGCTGAGAGGGCTCCTCGGGCTGCCACTGAACTGGCTTGGTCGGTGCAATCCATACCCCATGAGAAAGTACTCCATGGGTATCAACATTGCATGCGGCTGCTCTTCGGTCACCATTGATCCACAAGCCTGCACCTGTAACCAATAAATTCTTGCATGAACAACCGAGCAAAGCATTGTACATTCATGCACATTTATTCTGCGTGCATGTATCTGTTTTTTTATCAACAAGAGCATATAAATTTTTACCAGGACATTACTTATTATGTAACATTACATTGAACTGTGAACAAAGGGATCCAATAATTATTGCCAGCTCAGACTGAATTCAGATCTCAGCAATTAAAAAAGGAAATATTTTACAAACAAAAAAAAAATATGAGCAAAATGAAATCTTCAAATATTTTTCAGGCCATAATTTGGTAAGCTAATACCATAATATGCCGTAGTAGTGTCGTTCACACCATATAACACAAATGAACAATCACATACCTCAACCAAGGCACTGTATCTTCTATCCAGTTTTGCGGTCATGTGGAGAGCCTCCGCATGAAAAGGAGAGTTATCCCCAACAAATATTAGTGTTCGACATTTTAGTCTTTTCAATCCCCCGGTGATGTCAGGTCTCCTGCTCATTGGAAGAAAATAAAATCAACGGGAGTTTAAAATGTTGAACCAAACGCAACAAATCTATGACAAAAGTCATATCCCATGATGTTAAACAATACGCAACCTCTTACTCATCTTTACCTGTCAATTGCATGAAGAAACCTCAAAACATTTACGCTCTGCCTCTCATCCAGCAACTGACAAAACAAAACATCATTTAAATGATATCACACACTGGTAAATCGCCAAAGAAGGAAAAGAAAAGAAAATCTGATCCAACAATCATGTGCACTCAAGGAACAGAAAATTCGAAGAGTGGGAACACTAACTCTTCTGCATGCTTGAACTATGTCTGATTCCGGGACTTCTGCATTTCCGCGAACTTCCTGTTAACTTAAAAGTAAATTCATCACTCAACCTACTCGACACAAGAACAAGGATTAAGACCATTAATTAGCAAGAAACAGTACCTTGCTAAAGTACCGGTGAAGCAAACAGTCCTTTAGCAAACCACACATGCCATAGTAATATAGCAAATTTGACATCACCTACAAAACGCACAAAATTTGAGCTTTCATATAGGGATGAATGCCCCTTCTCCATCTGCTAATGACAGCAAGGTAAAAAACATTACCTTATTATACAACCATTCAGACCAAGAGGGTGCTTTGCATAGTGGGGAAATGAGTATCAAACCAAGAACCCGCTCCCTATATTTCATCTGTAATTCAAAACCTTGATCAATGGACCAATCAATATAGATTTCACTTTTACTTGTAATAGTAACATTGAAAAGAGAGAACATACTGCAAATAGGGTGAGGACGTAAGCACCAGCCATTACTCCCATGCCCATCACTGCACCAATCCTGGACAAGGTGACATCCAATGACATCATAAAACCGGCATCTATATAATTTATTTCTAATTCGGGTCAGGAACAAAACAAGGGTTATGTCATTGCTTGAATTTGAAAGCAGTACCAACTAAGAATAATGTTGTCTTGAGATTAATCAACAAACTAACTATTGACATTCACAGCTCAAAAAGAACAACTAACAAACATGTGCAATATTATAATTACCTGAAATAGTTAAGAACCTCGATGATTTGATCCGCCAAATCATCTACAGAAGGCACGGGTTCACTGGGACTAATTGCTGCAGCTCCCAACTGCAAGAACTCTTGTGGAAGTCCGAGAAGATATTAATAATAGCATTTGAAATAAATAATGTACAACACATTTCAAAAGCAAAATGATTCAGTAACAGAAGCAACAGAATTACGAATGCATACAAGTTAATCAATTCACAAACCTCATGCCCAGGAGGACTGACATGGTAAATGCAGAAATTGTGGAGCAGCAAAGAAGCTGCTTCAGGGCAGAAGAACAATCCTTGGAAACAAGACATATCTGCTCAAAAAAATTACATGTTTGCACAAAAAAGCCTTTATCAGGCTGCAGATATGGACAAATAAAAGAGGCAGACAATAGTTTTTACGTATACAAAAACTACTCGTAAACCTAAAACCACAAAAACCAAAAAAAGTAAACAAACATATCACTCACGATTTAGAGCTAAATCAGGATAAGAAAGCAGTGCTGGCTTGTCTTGGTCTCCGTACACAATAACAGACACAGAGCCACGGCCAGTCCGTACAATATGTTCCTGAGTAAAGATAGGTAGATTACACATAAGCCATTACAACCACATCTCCACAACCAGCAATTATCACCAAAACGATCTAAATTTCAAACGAATTATTAGAGACTCTGGAACTACTAAAAGTACCATCACATTTTAAAAATGCAGAAGAGCATTCAAATAAATACAAGGAATCATTTCTTTTGTGTAAAAACCTATCAATTAAAGGAAAAACGCAGCTTTTATTCAAATGATTTTTTTCCCCAAAGTGGCTCATCATATGCATTATGCCTTTCCTGAGCCATCCCACCATAGAGCTGAATATACATATTAAAAAAACAGGATTTTCAAGTTTCAATCATTGGACTCCTAAAAAACTGATGACAGTATAAAAGAAGAAGATGCAACATGTTAATAACGCTGACAGAAACTAATTAACAAATTATTGCAACTTTTAACCAATAACATGAGAAGTAGAAAGACAATGTCACAGACGCCGAATTCACATAATGAGTAGAAATAAGAAAATGACAAGCGTCTACATGTGATTGTGAGTTCTTACCCACAAGAACAAAGGATAAGAAGAAACAACAAGAGAGAATGGGCACAAAATATAATCAGCTACCCAATTCAGATATAATACCAAGACGAATATCAAACAAGGTTCTAGTTTCAACTAATCCACAGTCAAGAATAGTCTAATTCATTTCCAAGAACAGACAGAAAAAAGAGAATTAAAATAAATTTTGTATGTGAAAAATTCCAATATTGGACAAGTAAGAAAACAAAGGCATTTAGCTAAGCTGAGATCAATTCTCAATATTTAGAAATCAAAATAACGCAAAGAAAAGAATAATTCAATCTTATTGAATTTGGTTTTCTCAGCCACCAATTAGAAGGTAATTACAAAAACCAAAAGATTCATTTTGGAACTCAAAAGATATATTTTTGAACAGATATAGAAGTCAATGAGACAACTAAAAAACGATAAGCAATGGAGAAAATAAAGAAACTTTTCTCCTTAAAAGATAGTTGCTTCTGTAGAACTCAAACAATTATTAGTTCCGCTTGCTCATAACAATAATCCGAATCTTTAAGAAAATTAACTAATAAAAAAATACAACCGAAAATATGCGAATTTAATTAAATTCAACATTTTGCTTAAAACGAACAATCCGTAATCCAAACATTCAAGAAATGCAACGAAGAAATATTTGTGCATAGAAATGTGAATCCAAAAATCGTCACAATGGAAGCAAATGCATTGCACATAGATTAATCAATCCAAAACCACCCTAATTTGAATCGAAAGTTCAAAATGGAGAATAATAATGCAAAATAACGTGTTCTGATTTAGAACTGGAACCTTTCCGCCAAGATAGATAGTCTCCATATCAACAGAAACGGAATCGCTTGACTCTGCCATGGCCGTCGGCGCTCTGTGTCTGAAACAAAAAGCCGAAAGCCTCTCTCTCTCTCTGTCACCCCCTCTCTCTCCTTATCTCTCCCTGAATGTTCTCTCTCTATCTACAATCTACAATATATATGCCCTGAGCTTCGGTGGCTTATATACGAAGCGATTCTCTCTCTCTCTCTCTCTCTCTCTCTCTCTCTCTAAATCTGCATCTACTAGCCAACTGGAAAATAACCTGCGGTTAATCTCCACCGACAGTTCTCTCTCTCTCTCTCTCTCACACACACACACACATACAGCGCACGAGTTCCGTAATAACCGATTTTAACCTGGCACTCTGGTCAAACATTAACCATGGTTAATGACCGACACCTTGGCACTTTAAATTATGCCACGGCATTACGGCAGCATCATAATACGGAGTCCTTTTATCCTTTTATTTCTTTCCTTTTTTGTTTTTTACTTTTTTTTTCTTTTATTTTTTTTTGGAAGGCCAAAAGTAAAAATTATTTTCACATTTTATTTATTTACTACTTATTTCTCATGCTTGAAGACACAGAGTAATAAAAATAGTTAACAACAAAATTTGTATTCACGTCCAAAATTAAATTATAAAGATAAAAGAGAGAGAAAAAATTAAACCACCAGTTATACTGGAGGTAAGCGGTGGTAGTTGTGATGAGCGACAGTGATAGTGGTGAAAGACGGTGATGAATGTAGTGGGTAGTGACAACTGTAGTGGTGGTGAAAATAGTGGGTGACAATAATGATTGTAGTGGACGACGATAATGGTGGTGGGCAATGGTTGGTAGTGAGTTATGGTAGGGGGTGACAGTGGGTGGTGACAGAGGGCGACGGTGGTGGTGGGGCGACGACATGTTGGGTGATAGTGGACAACAGGTGGTGGTGAGTTATGGTAGTGGGTGACAGTGAGTGGTGATGGTGGGATAATAGTGGTAGTGATAATAAATAAGAATGAGATGATGATGGTGATGACGGTGGGTGATGGTGGTGGCGGTGAATGACAGTAGTAGCAATTGGTGGTGGGTGACGACAATGGTGGTAGTGATGGGTGGTGGCGGCGGCGATGGTGGTGGTGGTGGTGGTGGTGGTGGTGGTGGTGGCGATGGTTGTGGTTGTGGTAGAGATAGTGGTGGGGTGACAACAATGGTAACAGTAGCAATGGTAGTGACGACAGTGGAGTGGTAGCGACAGTAGTGGTGATGGTGGTAGGAGTTAGGCTGAGGCGGTGATGCTAGGGTGGCGACAACGGTAGTGGTGGCGTGGTGATGGTTGTGGGCGATAGTGGTGAAGATGGTGATAGGATGGCGGCGGTGGTGGTGGTGTTGTAGTGATGGTAATAATGGTGGGGGTGGGGGCAATGGGAGTGGTGGTGATGAAGTTATTCCAAACACTATTTTTTTTAAGCGCTTATTAGAAAATATTTTTGAAAAGTCACCCCAAATACACATTTAGGGAGCTTATTATCCCTATTAAATTTGAGGAGTTAATATTAGTCGTCAGATTAACTTTAAAATAAAATTTAAAACGATTTGGATCGCGAAAAGTAAAAATTATTTTATTTATCTTTTGAAATTTGAATTCTTTTGTACTTTATTATATAGACTAGTTATTCTCTGTCCCTTCAGGCATAGAATAATAGAAAAAAATTGTAAACAATAAACATATTTGTATTCACACCCAAAATCAAATTACAAACATAAAATAAAGATAAAGAAATTTAAATACCAATTGTAATGGGGGTGAGCAAGGCTATTGGTGATAGGCCGCAATAGTGATGATGAGAAACGGTGATGATTGCGGTGGGTGGTGACAACTGTCATGGTGGTGATAGCCGTGAGTGACAAAAAGTGATGGTGATGGTGAGTTTTTGGTGACAATGATGGTAGTGGCAACCGTGTGTGACGGCGGCGGTGGTGATGGTGGACAACAGTGATGGTGATTGACAGTGGTGGTGGTGGGCGGTGACGATGGTGGTGGTGGATAATGATGGATATTTCTAGGCGACAATGTGATGGGTGGTGGCAAATGGCAGCGGTGGTAAATGTGTGTGAGGGTAGGTGATAGTGGGTGGTTACAGTGTTAGACAATGATAGATGATGGTGGTAGGCGTGGTGAGGGTCGGTGAGAGTGGCCGATGGCAATAGTGGGCGACAACGGGTGGTGGTGATGGGTTGTGATAGTGGGTGACGGTGGGCAACAATGGTAGTGGTGGGTGTTGACGGGGGGGCAACGGTGGTAGTGGGATGATAGTGGTAATAGTAATAAATATAAGAATAATATGATGATAGTGGTGGGTGGTGACAATAGACAATGATGGTTACAATCAATGGTGGGTGACGATGGTGGAGGTGGGGCAATGAGAGTAGGGTGACGATGGTGAGTTGACAATGGTGGTGGTATTTGTGATGGTCGTGAGGGTGGGGGTGGGGGTGGGGTGGGGCGGTGGGGGGGTGGTAAGGGTGATGGTGAGACAGTGACGGTGGTGGTGAGGTGCGATAGTGGTGGTGGTGATGGTAGGGTGCGGTAGCGATGGTGGTTGTGGTGGTGGTGGTGGTGGTGGTAGGCCAGTGGTGGTAATGGTGATGGTGGTGGGGGGCGATGGAAGAGGTGGTAGTGGTGGTGGTGATGGTGGGACGGTGGAAGTGGTAGTGGAAATGATGGTGGTGGGGCAGTGGTGATGGTGGTGGGCAACGGTGGAGGAGGTGGTGGTGGTGGTAATGGTGGTAAGGGAGGTGGGGGGTGGGGGTGGGGGTGCAGTAATGGTAATGGTGGTAGTAATGATGATAGTGGTTGAACAATGGGGGTGGTGGTGGTAGAGGTTGTGGTGGGGCAGTTCCAAACACATTTTTTTTAAAGTACTAATGAGAAATAATTTATAAAAGTATTTTTAAAAAGTCACTTCAAACACATTTTTAGGGGTTTATTTTTTCTATTAAATTTACGGTATTAATATTAGACGTCAGATTAACTTTAAAATAAAATTTAAAAAAATCTTAATCGCAAGTGACAAAATTTATTTTGTTTATCTTTTGATATTTGAATTGTAAGTTAATTTATTATATAAATATAGATGTATATATTTGTGCCTTCCAAAATAAACTCACCCAATGGCAAAATTAATAAGATCCTACACAAATTAATAGATCATAAATAATGGAACCCAATTTTACATTGTTAATGATGGAATTGAATCTTTTTATAGATTCTATTTTATAATGATTTATCTCCCAACAAAATTGTTAGAACGAGGTAGTAATTCATCATAAAATTGCTTTCTTGATAATAGGAAGATTTTTCAAAATTTTTTGAATGAAGGGTGTCTATTTAGTTTAATAAATATTTATTAATTAAAAAAATAAACAATATTACCTGATTATTTAAAAACTAAAAAAGTCCGAATCTAGGGATAGACCGAACTTAAATTTCCTAAAATATATTTTCTTAAATTTTTTATTTGATTGATCACTCATCATATATTAATGAGAGATTCACACGTTTTTATATAAAAAAATTATTTAAATAAATGATAAATCATTTATAAAATAAATAATATATATTAAAGAAAATTTTACTCCGGAATGACCATTACCAATGAGAGGTTTGACTGGGAGTGTTTGTGTCCATCTGATGTGTATTATGTCCCAGTCTTACGAGCTTCACACCTACGATTCGTTTCAGTGTATGCTCTCCAAGTTCCACGTGGCTCATTCTTATGTAATGATATGATTGTATGGAGCTAAAAAAGTCACCTTGACAATTCATATTGATCTACTACCTAACTTATTCCCATCTTCTTGTTGCCTTTGTGTCAACCTATTATTCCAACCCGATAGCTAGGCGATGAACCACACGAAACCCGACCTGAATACCTTGCATACAAAACTCTGACTTTTTAGTTGCCCGACATTACCTTACTCATAAAATCCCAATTTAAGGGAAAAAAAAATGCTTGAGAAACTCTAGTTTTTCTAATTGAACAAATTACACTTCATATCCTTAAGGTATGTGTATAATTCCTATTTAGTTCTAAAGTTTAAATAACACATCAATCTTAAAGTTATAACAAAGTTTCAATTTAGTCCCGTATTCAACTTCATTAGTTTATGATAATCATGAGATTATACGTATGGACCACCCCAACCAAAAGCCCAACGGGCCCAGAAAGCCTTTACTTGCATAGTAGCCCAAATAGCTCACCTGCAACCTGTCCCCGCCAAGATTAGAATGGGCCGCACCCAAAGGATGAAGTCCAACAGTATTTGAAGGCTTGAAAACCAGTCCAGCCCCAAACCAACTCAGCTGGAGGCCAGCTTGAGGTAAAGGAGCTCGCTCCATTATCGATCCCGAAATACTCCCGTCTTGCCACGTGTCCTGAGGGTAGAATGACCATTTCTGACACCCATAATGAACACACACTCTTTGCCACAGAGAATATTGGTGAACATAACTGCTCAAAGACGTGGACACAGTAGTGCCAAATGACAGAGGTCACTGCCAGACAAAAGAAGAGGGACCTACAGAATCAATAAAAAGGAGGAAAGACCATAGGAAACCCTAGAAGGATCACCTGTATAAATAAGACATTATTATCTCATAGAACATACGCGATTATCACCCTCTTCACTGTTAGCACAATAAAAGCTTGTATTCTCTTAACATTTTCTTGTAAAGGCTTTGAGCTAAACGAACTACTGTAATCTATCTTCTTCAAGCAATATACACCCCAGGGAACAAGAGACTCCCTTACAATGGACGTAGCCTTAGTTTTTCAACTAGAATGAATCACTTACATAGTGCCTTCACTTTCCTTTCACAGTTTTATCTATTTTTAGTGTATATACGTGCTCTATCCTCTCTCTTGATCATTCGACTGTAATTCTGGACTTGGGCCAACATTTTTTAGCACCATCAGTTTATATTGGTGGAATGGTCTTCTATGACTAATATGTGACTTGAGTAAAAAAAAATGTTTGTTCGATAAATTTTTTTTTCACATAGCTTAATTTTTTTTTACTTCATTTCATTCGATTATGAGATAAATAACATAGTGTACCCATGAAAAAAGTATAAAGTGACAATTTGAAGAGATATTGTGAGATTTTGAGAGAAATATTGATAACTCAATTTATCTAAGAGATATAATTTTTGCTGGACTAATCTATTTAAAAAAAATTTATATATAAAACAAACATTTTTTGGATGAGAGCTGATGATGATAAATTTAAGTCTGAGCCATTTTTTGATCCCAAAAGGTGAGTTTGAGTCATTTTTTGAACCCAACACACATAAGTCGACCTAAGACAACCCAAGTGCCCCATCAAGATAGCATTCATCAAACTCGAGCTAGACCACACCCTAGCTCATGGAAGTCAAGAATAATTCAGCTTAGAATAGACATCAGCTTGGCATAAACAAACTCGACACTAATATCAGTTCGAGAGTTGGGAGCTCAACACCAGACAATTCACAGATGGGCGTACCACGACACACGTGAACAGGCGACAAAGAAAACGATACCTGGTAATTCTAACGAACGAATATTCACCGACAACAAAATTAGCTCACGTATTCCATTCAATGCGTAAATGGGCGCAAGCAATATTATGTCCCAAGGAGCAAGAGTCTCCCTTATAGTAGATGTAGCCTTAATTCTTCGATTGAGTGAACCACTCATATTTTTGTCTTAATTTATATCACCTTTAACACTAAACACTTTTTTTGTCATATAAACACGTACTCATTCTCTCTGAGTCCCTCCCCATATTATTTTGTAATCGGGTAAGTTGATTTTGAGCATCATCAAGAGGTTTTAGAAATCTTTCCACTCCAAATGTTTTATTTTTAAAATTTTGAAATATTTAATTAATCCCTTATAATCAAATTATTCTACCTGACTTATTTAACTACTGCCACTTTTTTTTAAAAAAATTATTCTAAATTTAAACTACATTTATCATTCTTCTTTTTTTACATTTAACAAAATATTATTTTCATTCATTAATAGATAATTTTTCAGTAATGTGAAGATGAAAAAAGAAGAAATAGGATGATGAGAAGATAAATAAATTCCGTAAATCACACAACATGCCCATTAATATATTCCTATGGCAAGTGACATGATGTCATTTTGTTAGAACAAACTCAATCAAACTTTTAAGGGTATAACTGTTGCACTTCAAACTGTATCTCATTTATCAAAAAAAAAAAAATTGTAACCACCCGATAAAAACTAGTGTTTTTTTTTGTTTAATGATCGGGATTTTTCAGTTTAGTTTATGTTTATATTAATTAATTTTTTTATAATCTGGTTATAAATAGATCATTCAAATCAAGACTAATATATTTATCAGAGATAAATTCTATATAATCCGATCTCAAGCAATTACCAAAATCTGAACTTAGTTCATAACTTCACCGTATTATCACTTCACTTGAGTTTGATAAAAATCAGTTGCAATGGTATAAATTGTTGATTACCCATCCTAATTTGAAGATTAGAGGAGCTACGAAAGCGTTACAAGTGTTTCCTTTCTTTCTATTGGTTGAGAGGGTGGGACCACCAAACGTGGCTCTAAAGCAGCCAATGAGCGAGAGCTGAACACGTCCCAAATTAAGCAACCTCGTACACGACGTCGTACCTAATGCTATGGCAATTCTGATTTCTAGCCGAAGGAAAGTACAAATTGAATCAAACTTAACTATCTTCTTCTCCGAATTCCACACGCACTCACACACACAGAGAGAGGGAGAAGAGAGAGAGAGGGTGATGGCGAGACACGGTGGAAGAGCTGTGTTGATGGTAGTAATAGTGCTGGTATCGTCATGGGTGCCAATCTCCCACTGCTCAAAGAAACCAGTGGGAGTTGCCAGGAAAGAAGACATACCCTACATAAAATGCCAGGTCTGTGAAAAGCTGGCACAGCAGTTATACCACCAAGTGCATAAAAAACAAGATCAGATCTCTCCCAAAAAGGTACCTTTATCAACTGAGTATTTCTCTAGAATCTTCACAATATGAATTCAGGCACTGGGTGAGTGGGTATTGCATCTTATTCAATTTTACTAACAGTTTTTGCTCAAGAACTGGTTAGTGATTTTTAGTTTTTATTCAATTGTCCTGGCTGGGTTTTTGATGTATATCTGACAGTTGAGTTAGTGGTTCAAGTTTAATTTGTTCAATTAATATTAATAGGGTTTGCCTTCAATCTTTCTTCCGTGTATTTAGATTGAGAGTTAAGTGGTTGAATTTTTTTTTTTTTGGAGTGTGTCTATGTTTGATGGTGAGTTTTATGTTTTGTTCAACTCTTGGATCAGATCTCAGAGTATGAAATCATCGAACTTTCCGAGAACGTTTGTAATTTGAAGAAGCAGGAAGCTGATTGGATCCTCAAAATTGATATTGTAGAACAAGGAAATAGATTGGAGGTAAGAATGATGTATTTGACTTAAGATTATTAGGTGTTTGAACTTGGTATAATTCCATTGTTTTTTTTCAACCATTTCTTGAATCTTCATGGACCCAATTTGGAATTGCTAGTAGGCTAATGGATATTTAGGGAAGAAAAGGTTTGTACTTCCATTTAGAAAGTGATGGTGCAAGTGCTGTGACTCTGATGCTCAATTTAGGCATAGCTTTGGTTATTTAATGCTTAAGCTATGGTTTCTGACATTTGATTTTGGTCATCTTCAGCTTGTAGAACAGGACTCTGAAGGACAATGCAATTCAGAATGCAAGACAATTGAGCGAGCTTGTCAAGAGGTGAGATGACCTTGATCTTTTTGTGTTTTTGGTGCAAAATTAGTATTACTGTGTGTTTTTGTCAAGAACATCTACAGTTGTTTGAGTTTGTCAGACAGCTAGAATTTGGAACTGAAATAACAAATACATTCCGCGTTTGTTCGTTTTGATTCATAATAGTTAAATACTACTGCTGCAATCCCTCTGGCTTCTCTGTCGGATTCTCTTGGCTTTAGCTCTTACACTGTATATGTTACACTCAACTAATCTAGAATTTTGCAGGTTTTGGGGTATTCTGATACTGATGTTGCGGAATACTTGTACAAAAAGAAGCCTCAAATTAATTCCTTGGTAAATTTCCTTTGTAAAGATCTCACGGAAGCATGCAGCTCCAAGCCCCCACCCCTTCCAAAGGTAACTAACTGCATTCTGATGGTTACTAGCCACAATCTCTCCCTGTGCTTTTCTACTCCTTTTTAAAAATTCACTGTGGTCAATTAGCTTGAATAGCTGGGCATTTTGATTGCTGTGTCATTCCCGTGTCTGCACATGGTGATGCGTCCTACATAGCATCCGCTTCGTAACTAGAATATGCTTAAGAATGGTGTAAGTAGTCCCCCAAATGCCAAATGTATCCGTAATTCAATTTATGATCAGGTAACGTGTATCTTGTGAACTTAACTTTGTTATCAAGGGCACATTGTAGTTGGTGGGAGTGTCAAAGCCTAAACTAGACAATGTCGCTACTTGGGATTATACTGAACAAACATGCTTGTTAACTACATTTGTTGATTGAAAGAAATCATACTGAGTGCAATCTTTGAATTTATAATCTTATGAAACAAACACACTATCAAAGAATATACGGGGGCGGATTTAGGATCTCAACTTAGGGGGCCTTCTGAAGCTAAAAAGCTCCAATGCTTGCTTGAGGAGCCTGAATAATTTTTGTTTGTTTACCTCCTAGTACCCTATATCCAAGGAAATCTTCAAGAGAACCCAACATTTTCTCATCAGTCTTAGAACCAACAGACTTCTCTCATAAATTTGGATTGCACCATCTTGTTTCCAATAAGGAATGTACTATCAACTGCAGTTATTGGATTGAAAGTGGGTTCATCTAACATTGTAACTCGCAGATAATCCAATGGTTGCATTGAATTAGGTTCGTGACTCCCGGTAGCATTCCTAAACATTGTCTATTATATTATCCAATAAAAAACTATGTAAATATTTTTGCCTTTTTTTTACACATCCACAATTCGGCTCTTAATGTGCTCAATTTGTGTCACACCCAATAAAATTTACCTTTGTGAATTTTACATCTCAAGAAAACGATAAAATCTACACCCAATAAAATCTACCTTTGCTCATGCGTGAGATGCTTTTAATTGTTTATTGCATCATATGATACATTCGTATATATGAAGGTCTCACATTCCAGTAATGTTTGGCTTTGCAAAATTGATCAAAAAATGAATATTTTAGATTCTTATCCTGTTTTTTACTTACAGATTCTATTATTTTCAGAATAGGACTCCAGGAGAACCTTTCGTCCCTAAGTCATCAAAGGAGGCGGAAATGGACAAGCTTTTAAAATCCATGGAGGTAATAGTCATACAATTTTTGAATGGTGTCTTTCTTTGTACCTTATTGTGATGACTCTGGGACTATATACTGCCTCACTCTACCTCAGGGTATGCCTGGAGCACCTGGGATGAAAATGTACTCGAGGGAAGATTTGATGAACATGAATAATTTTGGTGATCAAGACGCAGATGAAGATGATGATGATGATGAGGCACAATTTCCCTCAAATTTGGTATTAACAAGAACTTATTTTTAAGTTATGTTGTTTGGCCAATAATTATATTGCTTAGCTAATCTTGAAAACTCTTTCAGGGAAAAGTTTTGAGAGATAAAGAAACTAAAAAGAGCGATTGGAAGCTGAGGATCATGAAAGGGATCACAGACACCGGCGAGGCACTCAAAAGCCACGCAACCAAAGTCTCCCACGGGGTACAAAAGTGGTGGAGGGGAAAGAAAGCAAGTTTAAAGAAGAATTCTAAGTCGAACAAGGCAGATCTTTAGTGGATAACACCATTTTGCATTTTTCGGTGTATGCTATAGTATAGTTCAATTAAGCAAAAAACGGCATTTAGATTGAACTTGAGCACAAATTGATGCTAATTTTCTGAGGGTTTGCTTTTCACCTTTCTGATTTGTAGTGACATTTGATCTGAATTTTCCTCCAACAGGCATAAATCACACTACTGCTGTCTTTAGTCTTTACTGAGTGGAATTGAATCTTCCCAGAAAACTTGTTGAATACCACCATCTTGTGTTCCAAGATTTGAAATCATTGAATTTGCTGCAGTTGGTCAGGTGTGTGCCCTATTACTTTTCCTGTGATTAACATTGGATAGTTAAATTATAAGTGAGTAAATTTATTCTAATAATAAATAAATAACATGATTTACTGTGGTTAAAATATAATTTGTAAAATAAATCGTCGGGATCGCTAGATGTAAGTAATTTGCACCTGCACCGTCCTCATCTTTATTTTATATTTTATTTGTATACGTATGTATGTATCTTTAGAAACAGCAGCTGGATAACTTTAAAAATACCAGACCTCAAACACAAGCAAAAAGGAAAACATTTACAGAAGAACAAAATAAGGGACGACACCAGATCTTAGACAATGAATTGAATTAGCAAGTGCCTTCCCATTCAATGCCAATGTTATATCGAATAGCTTAACATTTCATGGTAAAAATAATTGAAGGTACAGAGATGTTACATTTTGAAAAATCCAATCTCCTCCCTATTTTGTTCTCCAACAATGTTTCAACTATCAAAGTACACCACACCCAGCCCCAAGACGAAACAAAAGGAGAAGAGTGAAAGAAAAATTTCACAATTATGAGCTCTTGAATGTATTGCAACCCCAAAAGCAACTATCGCATTCTGTAACACTGAGTCCTTGAAGCAAGACAACGTCGACCATTTAATGAATACTTGAGCATAATGTCAACGTCACGGGGATTCTTCTTGTTCTGTGCCACAGTCATGCTCCCGACTATGGCTTCCCCTTCGCATATGGTCAGCACATCTTCCAAGTACAGAACTGTTTGCTTCCAATGTGTAGCTCGGGATTTTGGCCCTACATAATGAATATTTTTAGGCTCAGCAACATAGAATTGTAACCAAAAGCTATTGGAATTATTCAACATGGTCCCCAATTGACCAGATACTTGAGCTGGTCCTTACAGCGTAGTTTGAATTAATCTAATCACATACACCCACATTTAATCCATGCACATAAAGCAATGAGTTTTACACTGGCATTCAACTTAAAAATATTCATGAAAACGTAACCCTATGATGTCATCCAGTACCATCCAAATTGAAGGGCAGAGAAGTTCACCTGTAGAGAAACCCGTTAATTTATGACACTTGGTAAAAGACACATCAAAGTATGCTACGAGAGCATGGATGTAGTCATCGCGTTTGGCCACAAGCTTAAAAGGAGTAGTGAAGGAAGCATCCCCAGCAGCCATCTTAGAGATGTCCATCGTCTGTACAAGTAAATCACTTCCTGTCAGCACCACCTTATAGTTATTTTTGTTCAAATATCAATAGATTTAGAGGTCAATCAGAAGCAAATTATAATTGGATTAACTACCAGGAGACAAGGATATATAACTCCACCTTGAGTAATTGGCAATTTGTAACAATCTGATTCTGGTCAACTGTGTCAACAAGAGGTTCCATCATGGCTTGTTTCCTAATGCAGCTCATGTCAAAGCCATATACGTTGTTCCAGACTGCAGTTGCATGAGAATGCCAAGATAATAAAAAGCATAGCAATAGGACCATGTAAGGTTTGAAACAAATTTCAAAAAGAGCACATCAAACCCAATCTATGACAGCGGCTGATGGAAGTTAAAGAGCTTGTGCATACCCATGCATATGAATGTGAATAGAGGCAAACAATATTCATCTAGTACAATATATGCAGGCAGTGAATTAGCTCACATCCAATCTTGTCTTCCTTGTAATCTGCATCCTCAATGGCTGTCAAATAGAGAGAAGCTTTGTCTGGTAGCACAAGTCCATTGGTAACCTGCAAAAAATAAAGCACATGTAAGAGCACAGAATGTAAAAGATTTACACTTGTGATTCTTAAAGCTATGCAGCAGCATTGAGCAGTTATTCTTGTAATCCAGAGTATGCGAAATGTAACTTACAAGCCATTTGTCACGAGCATACAGGACGGTATTTAACATGTTCTCATACAGCAAAAAATATCCCATCCATTCAGAAATTATGATATCCACTTGAGCAATGGGAAGCTCGATTTCTTCAACCTTTCCCTTCAGAATTGTTATAACTGCAGCCATAAAAAGCAAGAGACAGACCCAAGAAGGCAGAATCTGTTGAGAAGTACAACTAAGAGAACAAATTTCTAGGAACATATGGTTACAAATGACATTACCATTTGAAAATCCGTTTAATTTAACAATCTCTTGTGCTGTGTCAGCCATGCTGGAGCACTCAACCTAAAATTGGAAAGGACATATGATTAGCAACTTCAATGGGAAAATGAACAAACAAAATTTCTAGATTGCATAAACCCGGCCAATAACCACTATGACAAAAACCCTAATAAGCAAATTTACATGTATGCATCCAGGTTATGACAAGTTAGTTTAGTGAAATACATATGGCCAACAGTGTCGCTAATATTCTTGAGCACCAATCTGGTCTAAATAACTGATTAGGTCAATAGAATGACAGTATAACACTCTTAAATACAGGCTAGAAGCATTTCTATGAGACTCTGCCCAACACTAAATTTCGGAAGTGCATAAGGAAGCACAACCCCTAATATGATGACAGCATAAAAAGCAAAGCTATGTGCATGGTTCATGAAATAACAACAATGTTCAATAGAAGACATGTTGAAGTGTCTATTATCAAGCACTATAAGAACCAAAGTTGAAATTCTTTAATTAAGGATAAGAAACAAATAACCATACAATCTCTGCCAATCTCAATAGGAAGTACGAAGAAGATCAGAGATACACCTACTATTACTATCTACACATCAGCTTGCATATGACTAATAATTGAACAAAACATCAACTGGCTTGGCGATATAATGATATAGGCAACTAGACCCCTTGTAAACGTTGAACCTTACAAAATATGTTCTTTCAGCGAGTGTAGATAGAGGTCTTGTCATAAACAGATCAAGCTTAAAGCTTGATTCAAGTCTCAGGATTCCTACATTCTGAGTAGAGCAGCAAGCATAAAAAGCCAAGCACTATTTCCAAGGAAACTATTTGATTCTTTTAAAACAATTTGCCACTACCTGAAAGCGCATCTGGATTAGTTGATAGGGTGCAAGATGAATGAAAGACACAAAGACAGCCAGCCTACATATAACAAGTTAAGGAGATATTGAGAAGCTTCTTGCCTAACTTCAAGTAACGAATTGGATTATAGATGGCCTAGTCAAGCTGGAAGTGAGAAATACAGGATAGCTAGAAGATGCTGAGAAATTGTGAATCCAGCTTGATGAGAGTACCAAGAATCAAGATACAATGTTCAAACTATGCTACAGTAAATTGATATGCACAAGAACAACTGATAAAAGCAATTATAAGACTTTATTGGTCATGAGATTACTTCACGAACACAGTTAAAAGTAAGAAGACAAAAGAGAAGGGGACAAAAGTGAAATGCATACCGCAAAAACATGTTTCGCCCCTGCTTTTGCACAAAAGAGCGACAAAATTCCTGTCCCAGCACCCACATCAAGGACTACCTTGTCCTTGAACAGAAAGGTATTCTTGTAAATAGCATTTTGGTAAGTCTTAGTCCTTACTAAATCCTTCAACATTTCCTGCAATGTGGGAAAATTCAGAAGGTGACACTTGAAATTCAGAAGAAACTATCAGAGACCAGTAATAACAAAAAATAATAAAGTTGTATTTTGTTGGCAGGTAATTGTCAATGGCTTTTTATAAATACCTAAAGAAGCACCATCCATGTTTCTCTAGTACAGTATGCAGATATTTTAAAAATCATTGGTACCTAGAAGGGTCCCTTCTTGATTAGGGAATTTTTTTTTTTTGAAGGGAGTGGGAGAGCCAGGGGATACAAAAGCAAAGAATTTTGTAACTGGGCATGCGTCATTATTTTTTAAGTTTATCTTACTTCCCAGGAGGAAGAAGTGGAAGGGGTTGAGGATTTGGTTGACCAAAACTACAAGCTATAGAAAAGTCTGGAACTTGATTGAATTCTTCTAATCAAGCCACAGATTGCATATGTGCACAAACGGTCACAACCACTGAACACTGAACTGCTTTATATTGAACTGCAGTAAACTTACTTCATGAATACCTGCAAAAAAAAAAAAGAACCAAATAAAAAAGGGGGTAATAGTTAGTTCTTGCAAAAAGTGAACAAAAATATGCAAGAAATGGCAAAATCCTGGTAGAATTATGGCTACCTAAATTTAAGAAAACCACCCAAAGCACTATTTGTATCTGGGCCTTAATGTCAGAATTTGAAGAAAATATCAATGTCAAAAATTCAAAAAGTATTGGCAAAAATACAAATTTGCATACTCTATTTGGTGTACACACTCACTCCACCAAGTCAACCCTGACAGACACGGATAGGAGTTTTTTTTTTTGAAAAGTCAGGTGGTCTGCAGCAACATGTGAAAAATAATCAAGAATTCAAATTTTGCCTAGTCCATTGGAGGAAAAACAAATCTTCAAGACACTAATATCCCATAAAAGGAAAACCTCAGAGTACGGAAGAGTGATAACTTGAATCTTACTAATCGCTAATTATGCCCACAGTACCAACACAACCCCTGCTTCATTGTTCCAAATACAAATACTAGGCCTACTTGATGTACCAAATACAACCTATTCACCCAAAACAGACCAAAAAAGGCAGTATTTTTGCATTAGAAGTGGATGGACACATACATAAACGCGCATATATAAATCCAAATATACATGCATACACAAACAGCAATTCAAAGAACAGAGACTGGTAAAAAAAAATAGAGATGTAGTGTACCGAAGTGAGAGTAGGAATCGAAGTAATAGTCGGCGCTAGTCTTGTCGCCACCGACGGTGGACTCCTCGGGCTCGCACATGGCGGAGTCGTCCTCGAGGTTGGAGCTCTCAGTGGCCGTTTCTTCGAGGATTTCGTCTTTTCTTCTTCATCTTCGTATTCGAATCTGATCTTCGTTGGTTCGTGCCTGCTAGTATTCACAGAGTTGTGATTGTCATCGTTCTCTCTCTGATCCATTATTTAGGGTTTTAGGGATGGAGAGCCAAGAACTAGGGTTTTTGTTCGAGCCCTGGCGCCCCTCAGTAGCTCCCAAGTGACGAGTTTCCTAGAAAAGTTTCCCAAATCTTGAGTGCAGTGGTGGGCTAATCCCGTTATCCAGTGGCTCATTAGATCTTGGGCCGGCCTGACCACCAACCATATGACGTGTAGTGGGTGGTGGTCTTTGGACCATACCGACCCAATGGGCCAATGCCTTTTTTGGATGAACGTGAGGAGTAAAATGGAATCCACAAAATCGTTTCAACTAGACCACTAACACATGGATCAACACCGGACAAAGCTTAGCTAGGGTTAATAATGGGCCTGTCCGGCCTAGATTTTTGGTCAAAAGACTACCACAAGATGGGTTTTTGATGTTCGATCTTAACTGCCTGTTTGGCCCGACCATCACTAATGGGCCTTAGTGAGCCAACTAAGGGGCCAGTCCTAACGAGTCTTAAACATAATTTTAGAAGAAATATTTAAATTCTAAGTGTTTTCAAAAAAAAAAAACAAATTGGCTATTGAGCCAACTAGCAGCCAAGCCTTAAAGATCAGGCCTTTCCCTCACCCTATTCGCCGAACTATCCCAACCAAAAAAAAAAGAAGAGTAATTCTATTATAATTTAAAAGATACGTCTGATTTGTTGACGTAATAACGTGATATTGATATAGTCTAATAATATTATGATTACAATTGTTAAATTTATTTTATTGAAACTTTATCACTTGACAATAAAGAGGGCTCATGCGGTTTAGCTCATGTTCAATTCTATTGTGCAACTCCTCCTTCCCGTGAAGCCGTTCCAAGCGAAATTTTTTTTTGAGACGATCTATAGGCTAAGTTGGAAACAGCCTTAAATGCTTGACCACAAACAATAGGGGCTGAAACTTACAAAAACACCTTGTTTTTCACTTATTTAACTAATGCATTTGACGGAGATTTTATTGATTAAAAAATAAAAAAAATATTATACAATTTAAATAACTTTTAAAAATTATAACTTAAATACGTAAGAAGAAAGTTGAATGGATAAGTTTCATTAAAAAATTAATAGGATTCATTCATTTAATAAATAATATGTATTTAAATTATAATTTTTTGAATTTTATAATTTCGCACTTAAAAGAAAAGGTGATCCTTTCCTTAAAAACCCATTGGGCACCAAGTATCCGAGCTTTTGACCCATCTTTTAAAAAAAAAGAAAGTCTCAAAAAAGGTGAGTTTCAAAATATTTCCCAAATCTAAGTCATTTTAAAAATGTTAGTTGATTTGACGTTTTTAAGCTTATTGTAAGACCCAGTATACTGCTTAAACACGTCAATTGGACTGACGTCTTTAGAAGAAGCGTCAGTCCAAATGATATGTTCGTTTTAAAATTTGACCGCCTCACACCAAGCCACAAAAGTCCATATAACTTAAAAGGACTGTTGCCTTATGCCTAAATAAAAAAATTATATTAATATTTATCACAAATATTGTCATCACGTCAATGAATGTTGCCTCCACATATGTCTATTTTAAATTATCATAAGTGACTCTTATTATTTCTCTCGGATTTTAATGTAGTTCCTAAAATTTTAATTTTTTTAATTTAATCCATCAATTATCAATTTTATTTCAATTAAATCATTGATAGTTGAGAAACTAAAATAAGACAAGTGAAAGTTCATAAATTAACTTGAAATTGGAGATAAAATTCATAACTAACTATGTAATTTATCGTATTTTTTTATAAAATATTACAAAAACATCAAATAAATATAATTTTTAATCAATTTCTAATTAATTTTAATTTCTAAAAATGTTTTGCTCCCTCTCTTTTTGAGGGGATGATTTTTATTTATTTATTTAAAAATTTAATTACATTCAATAAATAAAATTTGATAATTTAAATATACTTATATTTTTTAGCATATGAAACTTAAAAAATTAAAAACGTATACATATAATTAAATTTTTTATTATATAATTATAAATGCATACATAAAATAAAAATAAAATTTTATTTGTAATGTTGATCATGTCGACATTAATGTTTATTAAGCTGTAAAAAAACATAAGTTATTCAAAACGTGTATATGTTAAAAAAAAATGTCAACCACGTGATTGGTATTCAAAACAATATAAAGGATTATCGAGTACACATAAACATGATGGGATAAAAGTATTAGACGCATCATCATCTCAATCAGAGAAACATGAATGAACTTTCTGATTAATGTCAGATATATATATACCTTGAACTTTTTGATTTCTCTAATTTGGATAATGATGCGTCTAAAATCCCATTCTTGGGCTCCTAGTATAGCCCCGCTATAAGATAACGCTCCTGGAACCTTCCAGAGTCCAGACACAAAATAAATCCTATCCCACTCTGCCACGGTGCCACCCATACATTTCAAAACCGAAACTTCCAGAGGCTTTACCTCTTTATAAACCCGTCTGCTTTCACTGATTCATCGTCTTTGTCAGACAGTTCTCTCTCTCTCTCTCTCTCTCTCTCTATCTGTTAATCTTCGTCTAAATTACTCCACGATGTCGAGCAGAAACCCAGGATCGATAACCCAAGATTGGGACACCGTGGTGCTCCACAAATCCAAGCCCAAAACCCAAGACCTCCGCGACCCCAAGGCCGTGAACCAAGCTCTCCGATCTGGCGCTCAGGTCCAGACCGTTAAGAAATTCGACGCCGGTTCAAACAAAAGAACTCCATCCACCGCCGTGAACGCACGAAAGCTCGATGAGGCCGGCGAACCGGCGGCGTTGGACCGGGTTTCAGCGGAGGTGAGACAGGCAATACAGAAGGCGAGGATCGAGAAGAAATTGAGTCAGGCTGAGTTGGCTAAGCAGATCAACGAACGGCCTCAGGTGGTTCAGGAGTATGAAAATGGGAAAGCTGTGCCGAACCAGGCAGTTTTGGCGAAGATGGAGAGAGTTCTTGGCGTCAAGCTTAGAGGATTGAAACACAAATGATGATTATGATTTATGGAGGTGGGTGTATGTAGATAAAGCTGTTGAAATTGGGATTGGTTAATTTGCTCTGACTCTCATGTCCATGGGTTGATCTTTTGTTGTTTTGGTTAGTACTATTGTAAGGATTCTGTGACGAAATAAAATGGGAAACTTGTAAGATAATTTGATCTGTTTTCTTTTCTTTTTTTTTGCCTCAAATCTCAATCCTCTACTCAATTTTGTACGAATTTCTTTATACCAAACTTGCGGACCCTGGCTGCCTTTTCATCATCACTAGCTCGACTAAGATATTGACGAGGGAGGCCTGAGAAATTGTTAAAACTCGAACTGAGGATGTCTTCAGACGTAATTCATATATACCATGTAAGGAGCCAAAACATTTTGGAATTTTTATTACACATACTGTAAATGGGACGGAATGGGTGAAGAAAGGAAGAAGAAAGTACATATATAAATTCAAAGCCAAGCCCAACAGAATACTTAATCAGGAATATTTTCCCCCTCGTCTCTCTGTTTCCTACTGGATGTTTCACAGCCATGGAGAATTATATATGGGAGTGGCAACAGATTTAACATGTAGATATTTATCCAGGGCATCCATACCCAAGTCTCTCCCAAACCCACTCATTTTGTACCCTCCATAGGGGCAATCTCTATCAAATGCAAAATAGCAATTAATCCAGATGACACCGGCTCGAATCGATCTCGAAACAGTGTTGGCAATGTTCAAGTCATTGGTCACTATGCCTGCTGCTAGGCCATATTTTGTAGCATTAGCTCTCGTAATCACCTCCTCAATGGTCCTGTTTTTAACACAAACAAGATATACTTAATCAGGATACAAAAAGGACTCTGGTCCTCAGAGACATATATATATATATGAGAGGCAAAGGGACCCTGACAGTTGTTTTTCATTGAATCAACTTGAGTGTAGCCAGGTTATGACTGACTAAGCTCGACCTCAATTATGGAGCTTGATTACCGAGCTTAATAACTTGTTCAACCTCAACTTCACATAAGTTTGTGAGCATTTCGAAAACTAAGTCAATTTCTCAGCAAAAAAAAAAAAAATTCAAAAATTAAACTATAGAACTTTCAATGAAAATCCCTTAAATTTGTATAAGCAACTATATCATCACTATTAAGTTCAAAATTTTCAAAAATCTAGTGGGGTTTGGTGGGGGTGGGGGAGGGTTTATATGCTGTAGAGTGATGGGAGAGAGTGAGGGTATAAATGATTTGGAGTAATTTGGAGTTAAGCTTAGAGTAATTTGTCTTTTTGGACTGATTATTTTGTAATAAAATCAAAATTATTAATAAGCACTACTCTATTCAAGACATGCAGTTCGAATTTCAAATTAAATGAGTTTGAGTGAGTCAAAACTGAATTGAGCTCGAGCTATTCGGATCATTTAACAGCTCTATTAAGACAGGCAACTGAACTTACTTGAACTTCAAAAGTGACATAACAGGTCCAAATATCTCTTCCTTTGCAATTGTCATATCATCCTGAGCAAGGCAAAGAAACTGCTCATTGAGTTCTTCTGGTTATAACATTTCAATGCTACCAACCATGAAGCCAAAAGGGTTTACCTTGACATCAGTAAATATTGTTGGCTCGATATAATATCCTCTTTCACCACAAGGCTTACCACCAGTTAACAAGGTGGCACCTTCCCTCTTCCCATGCTCAATGTATGAAAGTACCCTTTCGAATTGGGTCTTGTCCACCTGCATGTGTTCATTACAAAAGAGTGGTACATTAAAATACCCAAAAGGCAAATCTTATGTTCGAGAAACTGGCTAATTATGTGATTAGGCCTGTATATTTATTTCATTTGACTGTATGTTTGTGGTCTTGTGCATAACACAAAGCATAAGTGAAATTACTTGGGGTCCTTGACGAACAGCAGGATCAAAAGGGTCCCCAACCACCCTTGTTTTTGCCTTCTCCGCCAGCTTCTTCACAAACTCATCATAAATTCCTTCCTGAACGAAAACACGAGAACCAGCAACACAGAGTTCACCCTAGAAAAATAACCCGAAAGAAGTCACTTCAGTTGTGTTTTTTGAGTTAAAAAAAATGATTCAAAGTGAAAGAGGAACTAAAGAAAAATGCCTTGTTATGCATGGTACTCAGGAGAGCGAGATCCGTGGCTGTATCAACATCTGCATCATCAAAAACCATGAAAGGAGACTTGCCTCCTAACTCAAGGGAGACAGGTTTTAAATTGCTCATTGCTGCAGCCTGCATTACTAGACGTCCAACCTCTGTGGACCCTGTAAAACTAACCTAGCCAAAGCAAAAAAGAGAAATTACAGAGGTGGTATCATATGCAGGATATTTTTCGTTCGAATTAGTGTTCGAGCTTAAATTTTAGTTCAGACGAACAAGCCATAACTCCAACTCGTTTTGTTCATGAGATAAAGATAAAAATTGAGCTCGAGCTCTGTTTGTTTTCATAAGCGAACGAGCTTTAATCCCAACCAAGCCAAAACTGTCGGTGACCAGCTATTGGCAATTAATGTACAATCAGTCTAAGTAAATCAGAAATTACTTTATCAATGTCCATGTGAGAGCAAATGGCAGCACCAGCAGTCGGTCCATATCCTGTTACAACATTGATTACTCCATCCGGGATACCTGCCTGTTTAAAGCCCCCCATTCAGTCCCAAGACACAGAAAAAGAACATAAGTACATTAGTGAAAGAATTGTCAAATGAGTATTAAAGCAAGCTGATTTGATGAATTCACTCATGGATTAAGTTGAAATTAGCTAGCAACTGTGATCAATTTTCAAGAGAATGAACCATGCAAATAGAAATTCAAGGCTTACCAGCTTGGACAAATAAGCATAATAGAGAGCAGAAAGAGGTGTCTGCTCAGCAGGCTTGACAACCATGGTGCACCCTGCGGCTAAAGCTGGGCTGACCTTCATGAAGAACATGTTGCTTGGGAAGTTCCAAGGGTAATGTGCCCGACTACACCAATGGGCTCACGCAAAGTGTATGCTTGAAGCTCCCTTGACATTTTTAGAGTCTCTCCATGAATTTTATCTGCTGCACCAGCATAGTAACGGAGAGTTTCCACTGAAGAAGGAATGTCTACGGCCATGCCAAAACCGAACAACTTTCCACCATCTATGGCATCTAAGGTGGCAAGTTCTTCTATATTTTCCTCGATCAAATCTGCAAATTTCATCATTATTCTTCTCCTTTCCTGATCAAATCAAAGTCACGAAAGAGATGAAACATTTAGGTAGTACAAAGTCATATAAAGATACACATTGCAGCATGTAAGAATCAAGAAACAAAACATAACCTTCTTTTTTTAGAGGTAATCTTGTTTTATATCTTTTCAATAGAGGTGAAAGGCGGTTGTACTTAGATTATACTATGAGGTTGCATCAACATTTTAGTTTGATTGTAAAGAGTCAACGCTTTAGTTTTCGATAAAGAATTAATTACATGAAAATTCATCACAAATATGAAGAAGTTTATTCCATTTTTTTGTATCTCCTTCGTTTTTTTTTTATTTTGACCTCTTTCAATTTGAACCAAAATGCCAACAAATGTTGGTCAATTTCTATAAACAAATCACCATCTTCGATCATGTTTTATTATTATTTTTACTTATAAAAATTTTCCATTACGTTTTAGAAATTGGAATTGGCCCTTGAACTCTTTAATTGTCATGGAATTTAATATGATAATTTTTTAATCAAAGTCTAGGTGTGTCAATCAAGCAAAAATTTCAACGGACCTCAAAAATAGTGTTTATGAAATTTCAGTGGGGCATTTGACTCTACAACTGGTAGGCCAATGGATTCCATTTCTTTTCTTTTTTTGGTTCAATGATAATAGGTGCAGTTCAATTTACGTATATCTCATTTAATCTTCTTCTTAGTCTGATCAAAGGCTATCCACACCGAATTAGGGTATTAGGATTTATTCGTCATGGCCTGACCCAAAGAGTTATCAAGATTCGATCTCATAACGTTTAAAATTACAATTCGTCTTTTAATCACTTAAACTATCCTTAGGATTAATGAAGTGTTAATGGAGTCCATTTCACATCACCACTACAATAGCTCTAGAATTGAGAAACAAATAACTAATTGTAATGGGCCCATATGAAATTGGTAAGAAAAAGTTAGGAGTATCAAGTTTTGAGGGTTAGGTAGATCATCTTGACAACCCAGATGACAATAAAGAAAAGCTAATCATTAAAGTAATGGGTGGTGGTTGCAAAGAACTAATGGGCACATTAACTTAATAAATA